GACGGTGTGTGGGGACACGATGTTAATGTGTTCATCGCCCACATGGCTCATGCGCTGTTGGAGAAGGAGGGGTGGAAGGATCGGGGGTTCAGTCATGTGTCTGGATGGATTCGCTTTCGCTTGTCTATCGCCCTCGCGCGTGCGACTAGCTATCGTCTGCGTGGGGGAGGGAGGGGAGGGTTTGCGGGACTGGGGTGTGCTGATGGGGCTGGGATTAATCCCTCCTCCCCGTGAGCGTTTTGACTCTGCGTGCTCATGGGACTGTATGTTTATGAGTATCACGGACACACAGACGAGTGTTATGCTTAATGCAAGTTTCTCTCGCATGATCCGTTCACATATGGGGTCATACACACATACAAAATATAAAACCTACAGAGACACCCGCAAGTCCACTTCTCATGCACCAATCGTGCGGTCACATCGGCTGTGCGCCACCTCGCATGATGAGAATCGGGTGTCACCAGCTTATCAATACCTCACCGCCGGCTGCTTGTGCACTAACTGCCTCGGTGAGGGTCTTGAAATTCGCTTCCAAAACTTGCTCTCCATCCTCTAGCTCTTTCCTGATTTCCTCGCGTCGCTCTGGCTCCTGATTTCGCTCTTGATCAGGCTGCAGAAAAACATAGGCATCACACTCATCTTTCTCATCTCGACTGCAATCATTTTAAATCTTCTTTGTCGTACGAATTCTTGTCACCAACCCTTGGGCCGCGTCGAAGGGGCAGCGTAGCGTGGCTGAGAGGTGTGGCCGCCGTATTTATAGTAGTCGTCCGAATGTCGAGCCCCATTGGCTTTGAGGAGGGCGGCAACATGCTGCAGCTCCGGCTGTTTTACCTGCACAAACATGGCACCCAGTCAGGCCATGTGTGTGAACCTGTGTGGCATCCGTCTCTTTGCGCTTATCCCCCCGGTGAACACTTCGTCGAAAAGGTTGCGAAGATTGGGGTCTCCCCCGGCCTCCAACAGCAGCTCCACAGTGTTGTATATTCGAGTAGCTACTCTGCCTTTAGCATCCCACACCCAGCGGTCGCTGCTGTCGGTCTCTGTCTCGGCCATCACTGCGCGATAAAGAGGCTCTCCGTTTGCCGTGTTTGGATCTGCGCCACCGTCGAGAAGCCTCTTGACAGCCACCAGAGCATCAGCTGTCCCTTCTTGGTAACGGACACCGAAAAAGTCGTACATCCGCTGCCTCATGCTTTTCCATTTGATGTATCCCTTCCGAATTTGATCGATGCGGTCGATGAGTTCGATGTGTTGAAGTGCCGTAAGCTCTCTAGTCAGATGACAACCGATGACTGCCACCGTCAAAATGATGTTGGCAAGTGGAAGCAGCTGCAGCTGGTAAGTGGGATAGCAGAGGAAAAGGACATTGCATATCAGGCCGAGAAGGTCTTCGCAGAGTATGCTGGAGAGACGAGCCCATCCGAACATCAGTTGGGCTCTGGCATCAACTTTGGCCTCAAGCATGGTGAGAAGAGAAGGGTAAAGGAGCCAGGTCTCTGTGACGGGCCAGAGAAAGTAGAGGCGCCAAAGCCATGTGGGGACTCCCTTGTTGACCACCGCAATCGTAAAGAAAGTAATCCACGCGGTGGTCGTGGAGACAAGCTCTGCGATCAGCACATGCAGAAGACCCAATCGGTGGTAGTGGAAGAGGTGAGCCCCTGGCATCACCTCTATCAAGCAGGTTGCGCAGCCGAGCAAGCAAGCCAGCATGAGCATGGAAAGGAGAAACAGCATCAGCATGATGGAAGACCACCGAAAGAAGCCCCCAATCCAACTCCACCCCCAATAAGCACAAAGAGCACCGACCACCCCAGAAGGAGCACAAAGCCCAATGACCGCAAAGAGCCTGACGGTCTGTTCCGGATCCTCGGGTATGATTTGGGCCAGCTGGGAGGCTTCGAATCCCATTGCCTTGTAGGCTGAGGCGATGGCATTCAGCAGATTCAAGGAGAGATTGCTAATGAGTATTCCTATCGCGTGGCTTCGGAGGTTGCCGATGGCATGAAGAATGATCACGACGTTGATGAAGTCGATGATATCATTGAGGACAGAGATGCCGCTCAGCACCGTGATCATCCTGACCAGCCATCGAGGAGGGGGGGGCCGGTGGAAGCGAGTGATGATGGGTGCCGTGGGAGACGGCCCTCGCGGGGTCGCTGCCTGAGAGTCCACGCCCGAGTCGATGAGACGGGAGCGTCCACTCAACTCGATGTCACCCGATTGTCCCTTTTTGCGCTGCACCTGAGCAACCGCAATGCACAAGTCGTCAGCGAACTGCTCACGTGAAGACGTCTTCTTTGCGTACCAGTGTGGCATTCATTTGGACGTACTCCAGGCACCATTTGAGGACGAGCAGAGCCGTAGAGACAGAGGCAGATGCGAGAAGAAGTCGCTTGGACAGGAAGGGGACGGTGTATTGAGAGGGCACGTCAATACTCATCTCCCAGAAGGAGAACCAGTCGGTCACTGCACATTGCATCGGGAGCAGAGAGAAACATAATGATGGCGTGAAGATGGTAAGATGCATGCTGTTGCTTACGTGCTGCAAAGGCGCCCAGAAGGATAAGCATGACGTTCTCTCGGAGGAACACTTGCAGTGGTAGTCGTCTGGGACCTTGGCTGGATGAGGCCTGGGATGCAAAGACCCGTCCATCAGCTGGTTCTGCACGTACTGCCTCAGCGGAGGTCCATAAATCCATTTGTAGTTTATGATGTTGGTCTCGCAACTGTTCCAGCTTCGCCTGATGTGCCTTTTTTTCTTGGTCCTCCCGTTCTTTCTCAGAAAGACCGGCGCGAGACTTTTCGTCCTCATCGTGTTTCTCTCGTCTTTTGTCTTGCTCCTTAATCATCGTCTCAAGCAAATCCATTTCGTCTCGTATCTTGTCATATTGACGATCCAAGGCAGTGGATTGCGTCAAAAGGGCGGCGTAGCGTGGCTGATTGGTGTGCCCGCCATATTTGTAGTAGTCGTCCGAATGCCGAGCCCCATTGGCTTTGAGGAGGGCGGCAACATGCTGCAGCTCGGGCTGTATCACCTGCACAAACATGGCACTCAGTCAGGCCATGTGTGTGAGTCTCGATGGTGTCCATCTCTTATGCGTATCAGCCCACTCACCACTTCGTCTAAAGGCGCCACGACTAGGCCGCCGGCCAGTTGCCGTGTGCCAAGATTGAGGCGTGCTCCGGCTTCCAACAGCAGCTCCACAGTGTTGAATATTCGAGTAGCTACTCTTTCAGCATCCCACACCAAGGGGCTGTCGCTGTCGGTCTCTGTCTTGGCCATCACTGCGCGATGAAGGGGCTCGCCGCATGCCATGTTTGGATCTGCGCCACCGTCAAGAAGCGTCTTTACAGCCATGAAAGCATCTCTCTTCTGATACCCCCACTGGGGATAGCAAAAATTAGCTATACGCTCTCCCATGCTTTTCCGCCCGGTGTCTCCCTGTCGAATTTGATCGATATAGTCGATGAGCTTGGCATGTTGGAGTCCCGTGAACTCTGTAATCAGCTGACAACTGACGACCGCCACCGTCAAAATGATGTTGGCAATTGGGAGCAGCTGCAGCTGGTAAGTGGGATAACAGAGAAAGAGGACATTGCATACCAGGCCCAAAAGGTCTTCGCAGAGTATACTGCACAGACGATTGCGTCTCGCCTCACGATGGCTTCGGGCATCAACTTTGGCCTCGAGCATGGTGAGAAGAGAAGGATAGAGCATGAAGGTCCCTATCAGAGGGGAGAGAAAGTAGAGGCGCCAAAGCCATGTCGGGACTCTCTCGCTGAAGACGGCAGTTGAAAAGAAGGTAATCCAATCAGTGATTGCATCGACAAGCTCCGGAATCAGCACGTGCAAAAGACCCAATCGGATGTAGTCAGAGAGATTGACTTCTGAAACTTTAAGAAGCTCCCTCGGAATGAGGCAGTGCGTCTCGACGCCAATAAAGATTTCAATCGCAATGCCGATGAAGAACAGCAGAACAGCACCATACCAGAAGACTCCCCCAAACCAAATGACGATTGCCCAGATCCACGAAGCAGGGATTGCACCTAGCAACGCACCCATCGCCCCACAGAAACACGCAATGGGGGCCGCTATGTGCGCCCGCCCAGATAGCCAGCGTCGATTGGACGATTGCAGTAAGGTATCGGGTGAATCCTCCAGCCGTGCATGCTTTTTCAGTGCGGCTGTCAGGTTTTGCGCCAGCTGTTCTTGCATCTTCTCTTGGGATGCTTCAAAGCCCATGGCTTCATAGGCTGAGGCGATGACATTCAGCGAGTTCAGGAACAGATTGCAGATGAGTGTGCCAATAGCACTGGCTCCTGGGTTGGCGCAAAGAATGATCATGACGTTGATGAAATCGATGCTGTCGTTGAGGACAGAGATGCCGCTCAGCACCGTTATCATCCTGACGAGCCACCGAGGAGGGGGGGGCCGGTCGAAGCGAGTGATGATGGGCACCGTGGCAGACGTCCCTTGCGGGGAGTCCACGCCCGACTTGATGAGACGGGAGCAGTCGTTTGATTCGATGTCGCCCAAGGGTCCCTTTTTGCGCTGTACCTGAGCGACCGCAATGCACAAGTCGTCAGCAAAGTGCTCACCTGAAGACGTCTCCCCTGCGTACCAGTGTGGCATTCATTTGGGCGTACTCCAAACACCATTTGAGGACGAGCAGGGCCGTAGAGACAGAGGCAGAGGCGAGAAGGAGCCGCTTGCACAGGAGGGGAATGGTGTATTGGGAAGGCTCGTCAATGTTCATCTCCCAGAAGGAGAACCAGTCGGTCACTGCACATGTGCAATGGGGGCAGAGAGAGAGCAAGATACACGATGATGGCGTGAGAGACGGTAAGAGGCCTGCTGTTGCTTACGTACTGCGAAGGCGCCCAGGAGGATGAGCATGACGTTCTCTTGGAGGAACACCTGCAGTGAGACTCGTTTACGCCCTTCGCTGGATGAAGCCTGGGATGCAAAGACCCGTCCATCGGCTGGTTGGGCACGCACTGCCTCAGCGAGGGTCTTCAACTCGGTTTCTAGTTCATTTTCTTCGTCTTCTAACTTTTTCAGCTTCGCCTGATGCTCCTTTTCTTCTTTCTCCTCTCGTTCTTTAAAAGAAGGAATCGCAGCATTTTTGTCTTCCGTTTCCTTATACTCTTTTTCCATTTCTTTTAGTCGCTCTGGTTCCTAATATTTTCGCTGCAGAAAGACAAAGGCATCATACCTATTCATCATATTGACTTCAATCATCCAAATCTTCTTTGTCGTACGAAATCTTGTCGCCAAGCATCAAATTTGCCGATCAGCTCTTTCGATCGCATCAAAAGGGCAGCGTAGCGGGCCTGATTGGTGTGTCCGCCGTATTTATAGTAGTCGTCCGAATGTCGAGCCCCATTGGCTTTGAGGAAGACAGCGACATCTTTCAGCTCAGGCTGTATTACCTGCACAAACATGGCACTCAGTCAGGCCATGTGGGTGAATCTGTGTGGCATTCATCTCTTCATCCTTATCCCCCCACTCACCACTTCATCCAGAGGCGCTACGATTAAGCCGCCGGCCAGCTGCCGTGTGCCAAGGTTGGGGTCTGCTCCGGCTTCCAACAGCAGCTCCACAGTGTTGAATATCCGTGTAGCTACGGCTTCGGCATCCCTCACCAAGGGGCTGTCGCTGCCGTCGGTCGCTGTCTCGGCCATCACTGCGCGATAAAGAGGCTCGCCGCACGCCATATTTGGATCTGCGCCACCATCAAGAACCATCTTCACCGCCGCCAAAGCATCAGCTTTCCGATACCCCCACTCGGGATAGAAATAGAGAGCTATACTCTCTCCCATGCTTTTCCACCCGGTGTCTCCCTTTCGAATTTGATCGATGCGGTCGATGAGCTCGGCGTGGTGGAGTCCCGTGATTTCTGTAATCAGCTGACAACTGATGACCGCCACCGTCAGAATGATGTTGGCTATTGGGAGCAGCTGCAGCTGGTAAGTGGGATAGCAGAGGAAGAGGACATTGCATATCAAGCCGAGAAGGCCTTCAAGTCCCATGGTGCAGAGACGGAGTGCTTTGGCCGCGTCGCGATGGGTCCTGGCGTCAATTTTCTCCTCGAGTGTTAGGATTAGAGAAGGGTAAAGGATGAGGGTTGCTGTGGCGGGGCAGAGAAAGTAGAGATGCCAGAGCCATGTCGGGACTCTCTCGCCGAAGACGGCAGTGGTGAAGAAGGTAATCCACGTGCTGGTCGTGTAGACAAGTTCCGCCGTCAGCACATGTAAAAGACCCAATCGGTGGTAGTCGGAGAGGAGAACATCTGAAAGAAGCTCCTTTGGGATCAAGCAATGCGTCACGACGAGTCCACCCATCAGCGTCGACAGCATCTGCATGATGGCAAGCCCCCAGAAAAGGCGCATGGCAAGCCACCAGAAATGGTGCCCGATCCAAGCTATCCACCAAAACCACCACGAGGCATGGATAGCCCCAGAAGGGGCACAAAGCATGCCGATCACCCCAAAGACACAAATACTGCTTCCCCAGCAAGGCAATGCCCGACGGACATCGAACAGCCCCGGAAGCTTTTCACGCACTAAGGAGCCTGTGCAGTCAACCAGTGGGTTTCCCCTCGGGAGTCCGCTTACAATTCGGGTGAGTTGCTGTATGCGCTCTCGCGAGGCTTCGAAGCCCATTGCCTTGTAGGCTGAGGCGATAGCATTCAGCAGATTCAAGGAGAGATTGCTGATGAGGATTCCCATCGCGTGGTTTCGGGGGTTGCCGATGGCGCAAAGAATGATCACGACGTTGATGGAGTCGATGATGTCGTTGAGGACAGAGATGCCGCTCAGCACCGTGATCATCCTGACCAGCCATCGAGGAGGGGGGGGCCGGTGGAAGCGAGTGATGATGGGTGCCGTGGGAGACGGCCCTCGCGGGGTCGCTGCCTGAGAGTCCACATGCGAGTCGATGAGACGGGAGCGTCCGCCTAATTCGATGTCGCCCGAGGGTGGCTTCTTGCGCTGCACCTGAGCAACCGCAATGCACAAGTCGTCAGCAAAGTGCTCACCTGAAGACGTCTCCCCTGCGTACCAGTGTGGCATTCATTTGGACGTACTCCAGGCACCATTTGAGGACGAGCAGACCCGTAGAGACAGAGGCAGAGGCGAGAAAGAGTCTCTTGCACAAGAGGGGAATGGTGTATTGGGAAGGCTCGTCGATGTTCATCTCCCAGAAGGAGAACCAGTCGGTCACTGCACATGTGCAATGGGGGCAGAGAGAGAGCAAGATACACGATGATGGCGTGAGAGATGGTAAGAGGCCTGCTGTTGCTTACGTGCTGCGAAGGCGCCCAGAAGGATGAGCATCGTGTTTTCTCGGAGGAACACTTGCAGTACCCTTCTGGACCCTTGGCTGGACGAACCCTGCGATTCGAAAACTTGTCCATCAGCTGATTCGGCAGGTACTGCCTCAGCGAGGGTCTTTAAGTCGGCTTCGAGTGCAGCTTTCTCTTCATCCTCCAGCTCTGCTTTCTGATTTTGCACAAAAATCTGAATCAGCTGACAACTGACGACCGCCACCGTCAGAATGATGTTGGCTATTGGGAGCAGCTGCAGCTGGTAAGTGGGATAGCAGAGGAAGAGGGCATTGCATATCAAGCCGAGAAGGCCTTCAAGTCCCATGGTGCAGAGACGGAGTGCTTTGGCCGTGTCGCGATGGGTCCTGGCGTCAATCTTCTCTTCGAGTGTTAGGATTAGAGAAGGGTAAAGGATGAGGGTTGCTGTGGCGGGGCAGAGAAAGTAGAGATGCCAGAGCCATGTCGGGACTCTCTCGCTGAAGACGGCAGTCGTAAAGAAGGTAATCCACGTGCTGGTCGTGTACACGAGCTCCGGAATCAGCACGTGTAAGAGACCGAGATGGATGTAGTCGAAGAGAAGAACATCCGAAAGGAGCCCCATCGGGACCAAACAATGCGTCACAACGCCAAGAACGAGCCCGCACATTAGCGTCACCAGCATCAAAGCCAAGGCAAGCCACCAGAAAAAACTCCCAATCCACCAAAGCCACCACGAATCAGCAAGAAGAGCGCCGATCACCCCAAAGGGACAAATAGAGATCCCCATAGTTGGCAGAAATCGAAGAATCCCCATAGACGACATCAGGTCGGACTGACATGAAACTCCGGGTATGATTTGGGCCAGCTGTTGCATGCGCTCTCGCGAGGCTTCGAATCCCATTGCCTTGTAGGCTGAGGCGATGGCGTTCAGCAGATTCAAGGAGAGATTGCTGATGAGTATTCCCATCGCGTGGCTTCGGGGGTTGCCGATGGCGCAAAGAATGATCACGACGTTGATGAAGTCGATGCTGTCGTTGAGGACAGAGATGCCGCTCAGCACCGTGATCACCCTGATGAGCCACCGAGGAGGGTGGGGCCGGTCGAAGCGAGTGATGATGGGCGCCGTGGGAGACGGCCCTCGCGGGGTCGCTGCCTGAGAGTCGACGCCCGAGTCGATGAGACGGGAGCGTTCGCCTAATTCGATGTCGCCCGATTGTCCCTTTTTGCGCTGCACCTGAGCAACCGCAATGCACAAGTCGTCAGCAAAGTGCTCACCTGAAGACGTCTCCCCTGCGTACCAGTGTGGCATTCATTTGGACGTACTCCAGGCACCATTTGAGGACGAGCAGAGCAGTAGAGACAGAGGCAGATGCGAGAAGGAGCCGCTTGCACAGGAGGGGAATGGTGTATTGGGACGGCTCATCGATAATCATCTCCCAGAAGGAGAACCAGTCGGTCACTGCACATTGCAATGGGGGCGAAAAGAGATACACCATGATGGCGTAATAAACATCTTGAGGCCTGCTTCGCTTACGTGCTGCGAAAGCGCCCAGAAGGATGAGCATCGTGTTTTCTCGGAGGAACACTTGCAGTAACCTTCTGGACCCTTGGTTGGACGAACCCTGCGGCACGAAGACCCGTCCCTCAGCCGTTTCGGCACACACTGCCTCAGCGAGGGTCTTTAAGTCGGCTTCCAAGTCTTTCTCTCGACGCCAAGGAATACATATCCCACGGTATTCTTCGCAATCCAAGGCATTGGACCGCATCAAAAGGGCAGCGTAGCGGGCTTGATTGATGTGTCCGCCGTATTTATAGTAGTCGTCCGAATGCCGAGCCCCATTGGCTTTGAGGAGGACAGCGACATCCTTCAGCTCAGGCTGTATCACCTGCACAAACATGGCACCAAGTCAGGCCATTTGTGTTAGTCTCGAAGGTGTCCGTCGCTTAGTGCTTAACCCTCCGCTCACAACTTCGTCTAAAGGCGCCACGACTAGGCCGCCGAACCGACGCTTGCCAAGATTGGGGTCTGCTCCGGCCTCCAACAGCAGCTCCACAGTGTTGAAAATCCGAATAGGAGCTCCTTCAGTATCCCGCACCAAGGGGCTGTCGCTGTCGTCGGTCTCTGTCTCGGCCATCACTGCCTGATGAAGCGGCTCGCCGCACGCCATGTTTGGATCTGCGCCACCGTCAAGAAGCTGTTTCATGGCCATGCTTATCCACGCAGCATCTTCCTTTCGAATTTGATGGATGCGGTCGATGAGCTCGGCATGTTGAAGGCCGATGGGCCTTCTACTCAGCTGGCAACTGAAAACTGCCACCGTCAGAATGATGTTGGCTATTGGGAGCAGCTGCAGTTGATAAGTGGGATAGCAGAGGAAGAGGACATTGCATGTGAGGCCGAAAAGGGCTTCGCAGAGTATGCTGCAACCATCTTTGGTCGGATGGCGATGGGCTCTGGCGTCAATTTTCTGCTCGAGTGTTGCGATTAGAGAGGGGTAAAGGATGAGGGTTTCTGTAGCGGGGATGAGACAGTAGAGGCGCCACAGCCATATGGGGACTCTCTTGTTGAACATCGCAATCGTCAAGAAGGTAATCCAGGTGCTGGTTGTGTAGACAAGCTCCGCGATCAGCACATGCAGAAGACCCAATCGGCTGTAATCGAAGAGGCGAGCCCCTGAAGGAGGCTCTCTCGAGCAGGTTGCGATCGTCCCACACATTGATATCATCAGCATCACAGCGATGGCAAGCCACCATAAGAAACCCCCAATCCAACTTATCCACCAAGTGCTCCACCCCCAATAAGCACAAAGAGCACCGATCACCCCCAAGACCGCAAAGAGGACGACGGCAGCTCCCAATACTCCCGGATCCTCTGGTCTTCGCGCTATGGCTAGCTGTTGCATGCGCTCTCGCGAGGCTTCGAAGCGCATGGCCTTATAGACTGAGGCGATGGCATTCAGCAGATTCAAGGAGAGATTGCTGATGAGTATTCCCATCGCGTGGCTTCGGGGGTTGCCGATGGCGCAAAGAATGATCACGACGTTGATGAAGTCGATGATGTCGTTGAGGACAGAGATGCCGCTCAGCACCGTGATCATCCTGACCAGCCATCGAGGCGGGTCGGGCCGGTGGAAGCGAGCGATGATGGGTGCCGTGGCAGACGGCCCTCGCGGGGTCGCTGCCTGAGAGTCGACGCCCGAGTCGATGAGACGGGAGCGTTCGCCTAATTCGATGTCGCCCGATTGTCCCTTTTTGCGCTGCACCTGAGCAACCGCAATGCACAAGTCGTCAGCAAAGTGCTCACCTGAAGACGTCTCCTCTGCGTACCAGTGTGGCATTCATTTGGACGTACTCCAGGCACCATTTGAGGACGAGCAGAGCAGTAGAGACAGAGGCAGATGCGAGAAGGAGCCGCTTGCACAGAAGGGGAATGGTGTATTGGGACGGCTCGTCGATGATCATCTCCCAGAAGGAGAACCAGTCGGTCACTGCACATTGCAATGGGGACAGAGAGAGGGATGCATCATGATGGCGTGAGAGATGGTAAGAGGCCTGCTGTTGCTTACGTGCCGCGAAGGCGCCCAGAAGGATGAGCATTATGTTTTCTCGGAGGAGGACTTGCCATGACACCCTTCTAGGCCCGTCACTGGACAAAGCCTGCGGCACGAAAGCTTGTCCATCGGCTGTCTCTGCGCGCACAGCGCGAGCGATGGTCTTCAAATTGGCTTCCAAAGCTTTCTCTTCATCCAGTAGCTTTTTTTCAGGCTCTCCTTCCTGCTGCAGACACGGACATCAGACCCATGTTACATTGAACCGGCTTCAATCATCTGAATCTCTTGCACACATGCACGTTCATGTCGCCAAGCATTTAACTTGCGATCCAAGGCATTGGATCGCATCAAAATGGCGGCGTAGCGTGGCTGATTTGTGTGTCCGCCGTATTTATAGAAGTGTTTCGAATGCCGAGCCCCATTGGCTTTGAGGAGGATGGCGACATCCTTCAGCTCCGCCTGTATTACCTGCACAAACATGGCACTCAGTCAGGCCATGTGTGTTAGTCTCGATGGCATTCATCTCTTCATGCTTATCCCCCCACTCACCACTTCGTCTAAAGGCGCCACGACTAGGCCACCGGCCAGGCGACGTGTGCCAAGATTGGGATCTGCCCCGGCTTCCAACAGCAGCTCCACACTCTTGAATATCCGAGCGGCCGCAGCGACAGCATCCCTCACCAAGGGCCGGTCGCTGTCGGTCTGTGTCTCGACCGCCACTGCTCGATAGAGTGGCTCGCCGCATGCCATGTTTGGATCTGCTCCACCGTCGAGAAGCCCTTTTATGTCCACTAACACAGTGTCTCCCTTTCGGATCTGATCGATGCGGTCGATGAGCTCGGCGTGATGAAGTCTCGTTAAGTCTGCAATCAGCTGACAACTGACGACTGCCACCGTCAGAATGATGTTGGCTATTGGGAGCAGCTGCAGCTGGTAAGTGGGATAGCAGAGGAAGAGGGCATTGCATATCAGGCCCACAAGGCCATCCAGTATCATGGTGCAAAGACGGAGTGCGTTGGTCGAATGGCCGTGGGCTCTGGCGTCAATTTTCTGCTCGAGTGTTGCGATTAGAGATTGGTAAAGGATGAGGGTTTCTGTAGCGGGGATGAGAAAGTAGAGGTGCCAAAGCCATGTCGGGACTCTCTCGCTGAAGATCGCAATCGTGAAGAATGTAATCCAGGTGCTCGTTGTATAGACAAGCTCCGCGATCAGCACGTGCAAGAGTGCCAATCGGATGTAGTCGGAGAGAAGAACATCTGAAAGAAACTCTCTCGAGCAGGTTGCGATCGTCTCACACATTGATATCACCAGCATCAAAGCCAAGGCAAGCCACCATAAGAACCCCCCAATCCAACTTATCCACCAAGTGATCCACCCCCAATAAGCGCAAAGAGCACCGATCACACCCAAGGCCGCAAAGAGGACGACGGGAGCTTCTAGTCTTTGCGCTATGGCTAGCTGTTGCATGCGCTCTCGCGAGGCTTCGAAGCCCATTGCCTTGTAGGCTGAGGCGATGGCGTTCAGCAGATTCAAGGAGAGATTGCTGATGAGTATTCCCATCGCGTGGCTTCGGGGGTTGCCGATGGCGCAAAGAATGATCACGACGTTGATGAAGTCGATGCTGTCGTTGAGGACAGAGATGCCGCTCAGCACCGTGATCACCCTGATGAGCCACCGAGGAGGGTCGGGCCGGTGGAAGCGAGCGATGATGGGTGCCGTGGGAGACGGCCCTTGCGGGGTCGCTGCCTGAGAGTCCACGCCCGAGTCGATGAGACGGGAGCGTCCACTCAACTCGATGTCGCCCGATTGTCCCTTTTTGCGCTGCACCTGAGCAACCGCAATGCACAAGTCGTCAGCGAACTGCTCACGTGAAGACGTCTCCTTTGCGTACCAGTGTGGCATTCATTTGGACGTACTCCAGGCACCATTTGAGGACGAGCAGAGCCGTAGAGACAGAGGCAGATGCGAGAAGGAGTCGCTTGCACAGGAGGGGAACGGTATATTGGGACGGCTCGTCGATGTTCATCTCCCACCAGGAGAACCAGTCAGTCACTGCACATAAGCAATGGGGCAGAGAGAGAGCAAGATACATAATGATGACGTGAGAGATGGTAAGAGGCCTGCTGTTGCTTACGTGCTGCGAAGGCGCCCAGAAGGATGAGCATCATGTTTTCTCGGAGGAACACTTGCAGTGGTAGTCGTCTGGGACCTTGGCTGGACGAAGCCTGCGACACGGAGGACTGTCCGCCAGCCATTCTCCTCTTCTACAGTGGTTTTTGCCTATTGGTTTGCGCCGTGCTGCCACGGTCCTCAAAAAGGCTGAGCTCGCGGATCTGCGGGGAAGGGAGAGGAAATGGGCCAAAATGACCGCAAGAGCAAGGGCTTTCAAATGACCACACTCTCATGTCCATATGTCCAGCCACTGTCCAAGTATTGCCTCCCCTCGCTGGCAGCGCTCCCATCGCTGGTAGGGTGATCGCTGGGTCATTTGTGTTTCCGGTAGAAAGGCGCACGTATGCCAGTCGCCTTCCACAGTGGGGTGTGTGTGTGTGTGCAAATTACCAGCAGCGGGCCCCGGGCTACTTTGATGCTGCACGATGTCACCGAACTCGATCACTCGATGTACATCGTGTCTCTGTCTGCCCAATGTCTGCCTTTCTTACGACCTCCACAGCGCAACAACCAACAGTAGAACAGCCAGCAGAAGAACAACCAGCAACAGCATACAACAGCAGGACGTGGCGTGCAGCAGCCCTGGACGGCCGGAGGGGCACAGCAGGGCGGGGAGGTGCGCAAGAAGCGCCGAGTCGCCAATAGGAGTCGGGGAGGGGGAGGGGGTGGGTTCAGTCGGGGAGAGTAACTCAGTTTCTTGAAAGACGGATGTGAGATGTGAGACACGTACAGATAGATGGATGGCTGTACAGAAGAACCTATCTGTACGTGTAGATAGGTGGGCCCCTGGAAGGTCGTAGAATCAATCAACTTCTGCGTGTAGTGCAGCCATCGCGGCTGCTGGTGCCCAGCCCCCCGCCCCACAGCCTCAGCAACAACCAACAGCAGCAGAAGAAGGAAAGAAGCGCAAGGCGGGCGGCGGCCAGCAGCGGACGGCCGGGAGGCGGGGCGGCGAACAACCCTGAAACACCCTGTCTCTGCCTCCATAATCTCTTTCCACGATCTCTTTCCTCCCTGCATCAGTCCAGTGGAGTGCAGTCCAGTGGGGTGCAGTGACATGAGTTGACTAGGCTACTGAGACGGTGATGCTTGTATTCGGCACTCAAAGGGCATATTCGGTCTGGGATTCAGAAAGATGGCAGTTCACTCTTGAAACCTCACGTTGCCCTTCGTCACACACACACACACACACACACACAAAGGAGTGCAGCCGAGCCATTGCTGCATACCCGACGGTCAGATATGTGACCGCACCACTGCATTCCACCCGATTGACACGAATCGCATGCAATGCACAGACCTTCAAAAATCTGGGCTCAGTCGCTCGCACGAGACACACACCTGAACAAGCTAGCTGCACGAACAGTGTGGCGGCGATACAGCAGGCTGGCACGGCTGGCTGCACGCACGCGTGATCTCGGCCGACCAGTCCATCGCTCACTTGGCACCAGCCTGATACACACCGAAACAAGACGCATGGCAGAGGGGAATGGTGGAGCAATGAGCGCGTGACCGACTGACCTGTGTCTTGTCCTTGTCAGCTGGTGGCGCTGGCTGGCGGACGTCCTCCTCGTCCTCATCGTCGGCAGCAAAGTCCTCCCACGCTATCTGTTGGTGGATCATGCGATCGAAACACACACACACGCACATGTGGTGAGTGCAGGCCAGGCCCCCGTGTCTGTGTGTGGGGTCCGGAATGCGTACCTGGTAGAGCCTGATGATGGGCTTGTTGGGGTCCTTGAGCAGGAGGTACTTGCCGTCCTCCTGGGATGCGCACAAATCCAAGATCGAACGAACCACGCCCCATCTGAGAGAGAGAGAGAGAGAGAGACATCCACACACACATGTAGAGAGAGCGATTCTGTTGGCCTACGCGTTGTTTTCGGTGAGTCCGATTTGCGATGCGAACTGGTTGGTGAGGTACGTCTGGCAATTCAACACCTGGTGAGACGTCGGATCCCTACAGACACAGAGAGAAAGACACACAGGGGTGCATTCGTGTGTCCGTGCGTGTGAGCCGTCTGTTACTTTGGGTTGGTTCGCGTGACGAATCCGAGCTTGAGAGTGTCAGCCCCGGCAATGTTGGCCTGCGCCACCCAACGGCCCAGCTTGTTGGCGTTGTTGCGGATCTCTGATACATGGATGGACGAACAACCAACCAACCAACACACACACACACATGTGATGCCCTCTGTGTGTGTGGGAGTGATCGGTTTTTTCTTACCGTCCGCGAGCACGGCGCCCCGCTGTGAGTCCAGAGACTTGCGCCAACTCAATCCCACCTGCTCAAACGGGCACTCATGACGCGTTTGCGGGGTCAGTCATTTGACACTGCCTGGGCGGCTTGCCTTTGGGTCGTATTCGTTGAGTGCCTTGATGACACAGTAGGAATCGCCCGCCTCGGTGGGCATCTTGGCGTCCACCGTCGCACGCACAACCAATGTCAGATCCTTCTTGCCCTGACCAATACCCACATGGACACACACACAGTGTGAGAGTGCGGCTGTCTTGCTTTTGTGATGTGTGTGGTGTGAGTGGGGACCGACCGCTTCATTGGGTGCCTTGTCGTTTCCTGGGACGGTGAACTTGCGGTACCGGAACGCACACGACGCTGCCTGGCTGTCGTCTGAGAGAGACCGACACAGAGAGGGATCGAGGGAGGGGTGAGGGTGGGTCACTGGGCGAGTGTGGGAGCATGCCTTGTGCGAATGGGTTCTTCTCCTTGAGATCGACCGGGGGCGACGTCTTGTCCAGCACCTACACACAGTACACACAACACAACACAACACAACACAAGACAGCTAAAGGCAAATGGTCAGGCCGATGCGACCGCATCGACTGACCTGTTGCGAGAAGTTCTGGTTGATGAGCGACGCTTCAAAGGCCAGGCGCTGCGGCTGATTAAACTCAGGCTGACAATCGCAACACACACAACAACAAGGGAAAAAGCTGCCACCGACTGGAGGCACCGCACCCACCACTTGCCTCCACTCACCTTGGCGTCTTGTGCGGGTGGTTCCTGTGCGTTTTCATTGACTGTGAGCAGGTCGGGGGCGTCCTCGCGCTTGTCCAGCACTATCTTGCCCTCAGCCTGCACACCACAATCACACAGAGAGAGAGTGGGGTAGAGGGGCGTGTGTGTGTGTGTGTGTGAAGGACTGGTTCGCTGACTGACCACAATGACGATGATGTCCCACGAGTAGACGGACCGTGAGGCAGCCATCATCATCGACAGGATGGAATCTGCACCACACAACCACACAACCACACCACCACATATACCTGAAGGTGTGGGATGGCTTGTGCGTGTCCTGCGTGTCTGTCTGTCTGCCTAGCTGTCTGCCGCACCTGTGACAATCACTTGCACACTGTCATCGGCCAAGAACTCCCTGCACAACACAACACGCACACACCACAACACACCACAGGCCCTCCAGCTGCACATGACCATCTATCTCATCTTGTTGCGAGGCGAGTGTGTGAGTGTGACCTGAGGTTGATGTCCGATGTGGTGGAGGGGTTGTAGAACTGCAGCTGTGTGTAGCGCGTCAGGTTCCTCTTGGTCTTCTCCGTGATGCGGTCGTACGAACGGTCGTAGTGACGCAGATCGCCGCACCACTTGCTGAAGGACAGAGAGAATAGGCATAGAAATCTCAGTAAAGAATGGGTGTCATTGCTTGAGTGTGTGTGTGTGTGTGTGGTTTGCTGCTCACAGGTCGGTGACTTTGACTTTTGACGCATCGAGGTTCTGCTTGGGCAGCTGCGCCAAGGGGATCTGCTCATACGGACAGAGAGAGAGAGAGAGAGATGCAACACGATTGATGCTGATGCGCACACACGTGTGTTGGTGGTTCTGTCTGTCTGTCTGTCTGTCTGTGTGTCTGTGAGTGTTGATCATTACCTCCTGGACGACTTGCCATTCGGGCTTTGTCTGCACCGACCACTCGCGGAACATCCTGGAACGACTGATGGACGGACGACACACACCAAGACACTCATGTGCATTCCCCCCTCCAATCCAATCGTCCCTCCCTCCCTCCCTCCCTCCGTCTGTTGTGTTGGTCGTGACTCACTTGTCCCATCTCCTCTGCTGCCTCTGCTGCTGCTGCCTCTGCAGCTGTTTCTGCTGCTGACGCTGCTGCGTCTTCTGACGCTGCAGACCCCAACGACCCTGCTGCAAACTGACAACATAACCACACACAACACACACACGATCAATGCATCGATTGTCCCCTTCGTTCGTTCGACATGCTCATTCTCACTGACTTTCGCTCGTCCTCCTGCGGTTGCTGTCGGCCCCCCCTGCCGCCGTGGTACTGCCACGGCCGTCGCTGCTGATACGTCCTATACTTTGGCTTAGGCGCCGGGCGGCTGTCCTGTGACGTGACCAGCCACACAGACACACACAGGGAGCTGATCAGTGAGCGAGCGATGTATGTCTGCATCAGTCAGTCGTTCGGCAGGGTGCGGTGCGTACCACAAGCTGGAACGCGTCTTCTTCGTTCTCCTTCTCGGGTGTTCCGCCCTCACGACCGAAGCGAATCGCTGACCACAATGCACCACACACAACACAAACACAGTCGCGCGTCGAGCGATTCTGGCAACTCTTTGTGTCAGGCGTAGTATGTCTGTCTGTCTGTGTACCTTGCTGCCTGGCCCTCTCCTGCTGCCATCGGTAGCCGCTCTGGGTGAAGTCACACACGCGACTCAACTTGTCAACTGCTCAACCAGCGAACCAATCACACACACCCAACAGACAGACAGACAGATAGACAGACAGTGGCTGGTGAGCCATCCATCCCGCCACCAGGCCAACTAGTCGGCCTGTGTGCTTTGCTTACTTTTGAGTGAGACTTCGAAGGGGAACTTTTCAGTTTCGTGGAGGCATGAGTCGAAGATGTCGTCGGTGTATGAGGGACCCCACCCGTCCACATTGTCGTTGGTCACGGGGTCGAACGACGAAGCCACCGACATGATGCCTGACCGCAGATCAGATAACGCACAAGAAAAGGTAGGATGCAAGAGACGATACCCATAGTGGCGCATCCTATTCTGGTGCATCTGTGCTAAGGCTGTTCGTCTGTCTGTCTGTCTGCACGCCTGCCTCCATCGGTGTACCTCTTGTCCTCCACTGGCCTGCGTGTGAGCTGACTCGACTCACCGGGCGAGTGCGGGCTAGATCTTGGTCAGCGGATATGCTGTGATCTTCACCGCTCCTCTCCAACCTCCTTTCGTGCCAAAATGAAGCTGTGCAAACTTTGCGAGCTTCGCACATCTAAGCTCGCATTGCGAAGCCGAAGACGCCTCCGTGTTGGGTGCTGTGGACGTTTGCCCATCGGCCATTGTCAAGATCTAATGTCAAGGCAGCGAGATCCGGCGTCCCCCTTTCGACAATCCCCCGGTGGCTGACCGACTCACTCACTCATGCGCACCGCGGTGCTGCCACGACGCAGGAGGCCGGTGGCCTTCCTGGCGTCCGTCGCCTTCCCTCTGGTCGCCCTGTTGGCCCACTGCGATGGGTTTGTGCTGCCGTGGCTGGAGCGGCGGTCGATGGGGCGGCCGACTCAGCTGCTGGAGCAGCACCGTCAGCAAAGGAAGTGTGGCGTGCTGTTCTCCCACGCCGCCCCGCCGCAGATTCAGCACAGATACATCGACCAGAGTAGCTGGCCGGATGTGGCCGTGCCCGTCAGTGTGCTGCAGTCCGACCAGGAGAGAGAGCGCCAGAAGAGGCGGAAGGGCCGGATGATGCCGATACGGAGGCTGCCCCTGCCGCCCCTCCCCTCCCCGCCGCCCCTGCCCTCCCTCTCTGTCCCGAAGTTCATCGCCCGCATGCCGAAGCTCCAGCGCAATGTGGTCATTGTCACGGCCTCTCTGGCCGTGCTGCTGGCGATTGTGCGGTTCTTCCCGTCCTTCGTGTCGCGGTCGGTGGTGTATCGGTTCCAGCTGCTGCTGGCGGCCGCCCTGCCCGTCCAGATGTTGGCTCTGGCGGGGTTTGCGGCCACGGCGATCGGCGTCGGGGCGTTCTTCTACCGCACAGCAACGGGCCGGTCGTGGCGCCAGTCGCTCTTCCAGTCTTACCTGTGGCTCAATGGGCTGCCCGGCTGCAGCTTGTTCAACGAGACTGGGTGGGGCCGGGGGGTCGTCAACGGACTGTACATCACCGGTAGGGAACCACACACACACACACACACAGGAAGGACACCCACCGCACCGAGCGGTTTTGTGTGTGGTTGATTGCTTGGCTTGGTGCCCGCCTGCCCGCAGGTATTCTGACGTTCGCCTCTCTGTTGGGGCTGCTGTCGACGGCCCTGTCGACTGCGATAGCATCGTTTCGTTACGGCAACTTCCCGGTTCACGAGAGCGGCCACACTGTGGTGCTCAACTGGAACGACCGCACGACGGCTGTGCTGCGGCAGCTGGACCTCGCCAAGAAGGAGGGCAGGGACCCCGGCACCGTTGTGGTACTCTCTGACCAAGTGGGTGGGGTGGGTGATGGACAGCGATTGGCAGACAGACACGCAGAGAGAGAGAGAGAGAGAGAGAGAGGGGGAGATTGGCACGTGTGTGAGTGTGTGTGGGTGGGTGCGTGTGTGCGTCCATCAGAGTCGCCCGACGATGGACATGAAGATCGCCGAGGACGTCAAGCGGCAGAGCACTCTCAGAATCGTCACACGAGAGGGAGACCCCAACAGCCTCACCGTAAGTGACCAAGCCACACACACCACCACACACACACATCCCTCTCTGTCTGTCTGTCTGTCTGTGTGTGTTGTGTGCAATGGGTCGATAGGATTTGGACAAGGCAGCAGCAGGTGCGGCCAAGAACGTGTTGGTGCTGAGGGACACTGCGGCCGCCAAGGGGGCTGAGCAGACTGGTGGGGCGTCTGCCGTCCGCCGCCAGACGGCCGTACTCGCCGCTGTACGGGACAGACAGAGCAACGACCTGCCGTCGTCAAGGGCAGCAAAACACCCGCCGACCGTCGTGGTCAGTCGACAGACACACCGAGAGAGAGAGAGAGTTGGTTGTGTGTGTCCATCTATCTATGTGCTCGTGGTGTGTGCTGTGCTGTGCTGTGGTGTGCTGCAGGTGTCTGTGCCTGAGGCAGCAGTGGAGCAGCACCCCGGTGCGTCTGCGGCCGGCCGTTTCGCATCGCTGGCTGAGGTCGACACCGACGGCTTTGTGGATCGGCTGCTCGCACAGTGTGTCGTGCAGCCCGGACTCAGCACGGTCGGCCACCGACCCTACACACACACACATCCATCCATCCATCCATCCATCTGTGTGTGTGTGTGTGTGTGTCCACCTGCTGTCTGTCTGTCTGTCTGTCAGGTGTACGCCGAGTTGTTCCACCAGGAGGGCAGTGAGTTCTACATCGAGGCGGCCAGAATGTACGCTGGCGTGCAGGGCAAGACCTTCGGACAGGCGTGGAAACACTTCCCAAGGGTAAACCACACACACACACACACACACGGGATGCTTGAATGACTGACAAGAGGCCATATCTGTTGGTGTGTGTTGCCTGGATGTGTGTGTGTGTGCAGGCGTCATTGTGTGGTCTGGTCAAGGACGGCGAGCTGATGCTGTCGCCGCCCAACAGTGTGATGATCGGCCCCAACGACCAGCTCATCTTTGTCGCCACGGACGTACACACACACACACACAGACGAGTCCATCCATCCATCCATCTGTGTGTGTGGTGTGTGTGTGCAGAAGACCAATTTGCGTTACTCCCGCTCGGCCGTCGGCACACATGAGGTGTCTGACGTCAGGAGGAGCCGGCGGGCCACACAGGCCGAAATGCAGAAGGCATATCCGCGAAAAGTGCTCATCCTCAACACGGCAAAGGCCGACCTGACCATGGACGCGTAAGCCGACAGATACACCACACACACACACACACAGAGAGAGAGAGACTGTGTGTGTGCTGTTGGGTGTGTGTCTGTGGGCGGTTTGGCTGCAGTGGGAGCTCAGAGCAGACGGCCAGTCTGTTGCGTCATCTCGACGAGTGGGCGGCGACTTTCACCAAACCGCTCGACGTCACTCTGGTCACACCAGCACCCCTCAACCAGTAACTGACCTAACCCAATTCACCTCTCGACACACACACAGATACCCACCTGTGTGTGTGTGTGTGTGTGTGTTATGTGTTCAGGCGTGTGGGTCAGCTGCACGTCAAGGCGTTCCCCCGGCCCACCACCTGCCGCCGCTTCGGCAACCTGCGCATCAGGACGGTCGTCAAGGACCCTTCCACCCTCAAGACACTCAAAAGCGTCAAGGTGGCCAGCCATCAGATGGCCCATCCATCCATCCATCCATCCACTGTGTCTGTGCAGGCTGAGGATGCCGACGTGGCGCTGCTCGTGCACCTCGACGGCAGCTCTGTCAGGTCAACGAGCGACGTCAACATACAGCAAGAGGTCAGATGAGCTGAGATGAGGACACAAAGCCATCCTCTCGCTCTGCGGATGGATGTGAGTGTGGCTGATTGGTTGATGTGTTGATGCAGCGTGACGCTGAGATCCTGGGGATGCGGCTGCTGCTCGAGTCACACATGAGGGACACAAACAAACCTATGCCGAGGCACTAAGACACACACACACACACCGGCACACGCCATCCCTCCCTCTCTCCCTTGATCCATCAGAGTGGTGACGCACCTCAGCCAGGCGTTGAGCGTGCAGTACCTGCCCGCCAAGGCCGCCCCCCGCCCCTGGCGGCTCCCTTATCAGTCCCGCCGGCTGGCGTCATCGCCCACATTGATGCTCAGGGCCACGAGGGCAAAGCTGCAGGGCGTCGATGTGATAGTGCCGGCAGAGCTCGAGAGCGGCGTCCTCGTCCAGATCCTCATGCAGCCGGAGCTGCAACACATCTACACGGTTCGTTCGAGTGGGCACGAGATTGGAGGGAGAGGCGCATCTCTCTCTCTCTCTCTGTGTGTGTGTGTGTGTGTGTGCGGTTGCGCAGGAGTTGCTGCAGCCGTCCGGCAAGGAGATCTGTGTGCCGGTCATCAACAGCAAATACAAAGTCGCACCCAAACAGACCATCACAGTCGCACAAGTAACCAATGTGCCTTCACACTCACCCACACACACACATGCAACCACAGTGTCTCTTTCTGCCTGCCTGTGTGTGTGTGTGCGTGTGTGTGTGTCAGTTGAACGAGCTTGCGCGTGCCGAGGGTGACAGTGTGATTGGCGTGTGGCGTGACGGCGAGCCGCTGCAGCTGAACCCCCCCAAAGCCTCCAAGACGCCACTCAAGCCCACCGACAGGTGTGTACTCATTTCGGACGCCTTTTGACCCTCTCGCCCACCCCTATAGCCGTCCATCCATTCACCGATCACACATACAAACCCCATAATAATTGTGGTGTGCGTATAAATCTGTCTGTCTGTGTGCCTCCCACTCACATGAGTGAGTGAGTGTGGCTGTCAACGGTCGTCGGTAACATTACAGGGAGGGGACGTGGAGGGCGGGAGTCATTGTGTCTGTCTGTAAGCCAGTCAGTCCCCTGTCAGCTGGCTGCCTGGGGGGATGGATGGATGGATGGCCACTGATTTGACCGGTGTGTCATCTTTTGTCGCTGGCGGCCTCTGCTGACTGACTTACTGGTGGGGGCGGTGGTCTACTGCTGCACAGAATGTACGTGTAGGCTAAGCGTAAGGTACGTGCGTGGGCTGTTGTGTGTGGGTGGCCTCTTGGTCGGCTGGTTGATGATTTCATTGCCTTCCGGATCGATCCCACGATTGTTTTTGGCTTATTTATTTGTCACTCACCAGGGGCAGACAGACAGGCAGCCACGACCGACCCATGCAGCACAGCAGCAGCCGTGACAGATAAAGACACCCACTGACGTGTGCGCTCAGATGAATGGATAACATGTAAAGCCGCGCGTGGCTGAGCTACCGGCCGCCAGCGGCGAGCCGCCCTAATGACTACCAAACAGATGGATGGACAGACGAAAAAGACACACGAACACACACACAGACACAGACACACACACACAGACACAGACAGGGAGATGATACGAGCTCGGCATACATGTGATGTCTACAACCCGCCATACGGACTGCAAAAAGGCGCTCAGCCCTCACACCTCATTCTCCACTGAACGCATCAACACCAGATCAGATCTATAAGGTCAATCGCTCTCTTTCTTGTCGTCTGCGGTCAGGGAGCTGCCCGAGTGAGAGAAACTCTCAAGCACCATGTGGTCGCCACAAAACAGCTGCTCATGCAGCACATCATCCCCGCCCTCCCCCACCCCCTGCAAATCCCCATTCCCATTCTCATTCTGTCTCTGACACTGAGGCGGCCCGCAGGCGCTCGGCAGAAAGAACGGCGGCACACATGTCTCGGGCGGTGGTCGGATGACCATGTCTCTCTCCCTTTCCCCGTTCTGCGTGCTCTCATCCCCGATCGAATCAACGCACACAGAGTCCCTCTCGCGCTTCTTCGCCCTCCTGGCCAGAAAGAGCACGGGGCTCTCGTCGATGGTCTTGAGAGAAGGCAACGTAAGGAGCCTGTCAGGCATCCGTCGGGAAGAGTGTCGGTGGGCGGATCGGGGGCTCATGGGGTTGAGGGCGTTGCAGTGCGCCCCTCCGATGCCTCGCACGTCCATTGATGAGTTGCGCCGGAGCTTGACGGTCTGCCGCATTTGTGAGCTCGTTGCAGAGACCCTATCGTACCAGCATGCCACTGTGAGGCTTCATCTAAGTATCTCTGTCTGTGCAGTCCTCACGGTGAGTTGTTTGGTGGGCTTTCTGGCGGCCTCTTCGCGACGGGTTCCCTGCCATGCGCCTGGGCACTTATGCCTGTCTGAACAAGTGACGGTCTCTTCAAAGAATTGACACGTCTGAACAGGGGAAGAAGACAGACACAGGCCAGAAGCATTTGTCTCTCCTCTTTGGTATGTAATTGTGCTGGGCTTACGCTGGTCTGAAAGACGGTGTGCCGCCGATGATGGAGCTGAGGAAGTTGCGGATCATCGCAGTCTTTACACAGACGGGACAAAATGCGGTATAGGAGGAAATTGGGATCTTGTTGTGTTGATGACTCACCTGGTTTGATATCGACTCCAGACTTGTGCGAGGATTCGCCTGACGGGAACGCGTGACGTGCCATATCCCATCCACGCCCTGGAATCAAAGTTTTTCATGTTAATTTCTCACTCACCGACAGAATGGACCCCGTCTCCATCGCGTCGATGCTCATGCACCCTGCACAACAGAGAGATGATCTAATTATTGTGAAGAAATGAGGGCCATTTCTGCAGCGCATCTACCGGGGCTGATGGGAGCTGCCCGGCCATACACCGGGTCGGCTCTCCACTGCGGGCTGCATGAGGTGGCCTCGCTGCTCTCCCTTGCGGGCGACGGTGGGGGGAAAGCCGTTGTCGTGTCGGACATCCGTCGCCTTTCGCGCGGCAGCCAGGGGCTATCCTGTAGGTACTGCTGAAAGTAGGTGTTGAGCACGTTTTCCAGAGGCGACAAGAGGTCCTCCACCATACTCGGTAAGACGCCCAAAGACAGCAGACGAGACCGCCTGATTGATGGTCCAATCAGCCGCTCATGATGTATTCGTCTTTGTGTTGTATTTGCTGCCTGACTGACCATCTGCTGAATACGACCACTTCCGTGTCCGACGCGCAGTCGCGCTCATCTCCCTTAGCACCCTCGTCCACACCAGCATTCTCGGCGGCATCTGTGCCGGCCGAACACTGGTGAAGTGCGCCTACGCCCTCCAGCGGTGCCGACCTCAGCTTGCGCAATTTCCCACGGCCGCTAGCATCCCCTCCGTCCCTCGCGATGGCCGTCTTGATGTTGTCCTTCTCTGTTTCAGACCGCGTCTCTGACTCGAGACCGCTGGTGAACGAGAGAAGGGAGTCTGCACACGCAGAAACGTACGCATACATCCACGTGGAGACAGGGAGGCGGGTAATCGTTATTCACTTGGCATATGTACTTGCTCGCGCGTATGATTTGGCGACGCTGGCGACTCTTCTGGTGGCCATGCGGATGAGTGCCACTGTCTTGCGTGAGCTGCCGTCCTGGAGCAGTTGCTTGGTGTGCGGCATGTTGTTCATGGTAAAGAGCGGATGGTGCAGCTCCTCGTTGCCGCCCCAGTTCTCCGTCGGCGTGGTCTGCAGATGACGGGCACTCCAGGAGAAGAACTGCCGCGGCTGCGAGTCTTGGCCTGTGGACAGCACAGCAACAAACAGTATGAAATGGGTGCGCTCATCCGCGCTGATCCGGATTTTGGCTGACCATCATGTGGGCCCGGGTGAGGCCAGGGAAGCTGACGACGGTGAAAAATAGCCGCTTGTTGTACTCGCACTGCGCACACAAAGGCAACGCGTTGCGTTGTTTCCCATGATCCATGTTCCGTATTGTCAGTCAGTCACCTGGTGTGCATTGTACATACACAGCAGCACGCACAGCCCTGATGTGTAATTCATCTCCACAACATGCCTACACGCCGACGTCACGACGAGAGATTGTATTTTGTGTCTGTGCGCGCGCATGTGGTTCTCTGCTCTGCCCTGCCCTGCCCTGCCCTGCCACTCACTTGAAGCTGCCCCCCGCCCAGAGCATCACGTTCGATCCGATCAGCACAGCCAAGTCGATGGCGATGACGTAGTCGAACCTCACCTTCAGCAGAGTGTGGATCCCAATCACATTCAACACCGTCATCTCGAAGCACAGCGATGGGTTGGCGTGCGAAGCAAACCGATACGTCCGCCAGAAAGAGGACGCCAGCCGCTGCAGGGCCACCAGCAGACCGAGCCGCTCGATGTTCCTCGCCGATATGAATGTATAGCTCAGAACGCCCGTCACCCAGCAAAACAACACAAAAATAATCATGTCCTAGCAAACGCAGAGGCACACAGAGAGACAAAGAGACAGAGAGAGAGAGAGAGACTGAGACTGTGTCTCCGTAAGAATGTTCACTGAGTGAACTTCACTCGCTTACCAGAGCAGAGTCCCGAGTCAGAGGGTCCATGGCGAGATTCCATTCGCCATAGAGAATCCAGGCAGTCGCCAGCTGACTCAATGTCCACAATGTGACGCTTGCGACGAGATACCTGAGTGAGGATTTGTAATAGCCCATGGCCGACAGCATCCGCATGGTCTCGTAGTACTGCGCGGCGTCCTCCTTCTTGAACCGCAAATACACCGGATGGATCACTCCTCTGACAGATTGAATGAAGGAAGGCATACAGCCATCCATCCAGCCATCCATCCATCCAAGCATCCACCCATGGTATGCTTGCCTGAATGTCTTGCCGGGCGTCCACTGCTCTCCGATGAAGATGCGGGTCGCCAGGTTGTCTTTGCTGTCGCATGCATGCAGGCGGATCTTGCAAAACACGTCATACCTGACCAGCGAACAGAGAGAACAGGGAGGGGACTGTATGTGTGTGTGTAGGTGTGGAAAAGTGGACGATGGATATATCAAAAGACGCGCTTACAGCTCCTGAAGAGTCCTGCAAGCAACAGTAGTCAACAAATGCAGTGCATGCCCGCTGTGCGTGCTCGGCACTCATTGACTCACTTGTCGGTCTTCCTTGCTCCAGCAACACCCATACCCACCTACACAGCCAGCCCGCCAGCCACACAGACAAGGAAATTGCGTCCCTTTATCTTGTATTGTCTGACTTTCTGTGCGTTCGGACCACAGCCAGCAGCTGGAAGGCCATGGTGAAGACCAGTTGCACGATGCTGGGGGGCGAGTCGAAGGCCATGAGGATCGACACAACCGCGACGGACGACAAACCAACCATAAGGCCATACGTAGCAGGCAACCTGCACCAAACAAGAGAAAGCGAGACACGGATGCATCTCTCTCTCGCTCTCTCTCTCTCTCTCTCTGTCTCTTTCTTTGTTTCTTTCCGTGTCTCTGTCTGTTCCTCACCTGCTGGCCACAATGGCGATGTAGATCCACAGCGAGTGCTGGGCTCCAGCCCTCTCCCGACGCCGCGCGAGCCGACTTATGAGGTGCACGGCGATAATACACGCATACAGCACACGAATGCCCACCTGGTAACCCGCCTTCTCCCGGTGACTGAGCCCGACATTCGTCCCCAGGAAGAGCAGAAGCACCGCCGTCAAGACCCCCGACGCCAACAGCTCAATCCCGTATTTGGTCCACTGGATGAGTTCCTTCTGCAGGGCCACCTCCACCCACCCCGCCAGCCACAGCAAAAGGATGTAGACGATCCAGTAGCGGTGCAGGTAGGCGAGGATGAAGCGGCGCTCGAGAGAGGCGTGCTGCAGGGTCGATGCGGTGGACGAGACTACAGTCGAGCCCTGGCGGAACCGATGAGTGGGCAGCCGGAACAAAGGCGGTCGGTCGATAGGTTCCGATTTCTCCTCTTGCTCCACCAGGAAGGACACGTTGGATGTGATCCTCGACATCCGCGGCGGCGGCTCATGGACACTGCGCTCTGAGTCACTCATAGCTGCAGGCGGGGCTCTTGAAATGACGGGGTGGGGGGGCGGAAGAGCAAAGAAGAATATATATGTCGCAAAAAAATGACTGCTAAAAATGCGGCGATGGGGCTACAGGGCCGTCTTCAGCACAGCCCCAGCAATGGGCTACGCAGCAATGGGGCTCTCAAAAACTACGGCTGGAAGCAAGGCTGGAAGTAAGAGGGTGAGGAAGGTGTTGTGACTTCTCTGGTGGCCTCTGCTGCTGACGGGACCTTCGCGCTGACTAAAACTCCCACGCAGAAAGTCGAGCTCGCAAATGAGACCATGGAGCTCGCAAGATTCGTGTTCATGTTTAGGGAAAGGAGCTTTATGCTTGTCGTGTTCATGGTTGTGCTGCTTTATCTGTGCTCGGATCTAACAGATCTGTCCGCCGTCGATTCACTTACAGCCTCTTGACGATATCTACGTGTTCGCAAAGCGTAAATGGCAGCACAGCAGTACGGCACCGTCCCTGTTCAAGGTCAGGAATGCACATCATGCAGTACGCTCTGCAGCTTCACAATAGGAGTCATTCTTTCCTTACCATGCCTGTGTGTGCGTGTGTGTGTGTGCGGTTGGCAGGCGATGTGGAATCTCAGAAGCTCGATTCCCGTGAGTGGGAGGAACAGCCCCGGCATGACCGCGGCAACAGCGTCGTCACGCCACTGATCTTTCTCTGGCAGTTCATCTGGCTGGCGTTCACTATCGGCTGGTACTCTGCCGCCCAGGAGTATTCCCTCTGGACATGGTTCGCCGTCCGCCTGGTCTTCGGTGTGGTGGTCGGCGCTCTTGGGTACCAGGGCTTCTTCCTGCGGACCACACGGCAGCTCACGATGGCGGTGGGCATACTGCCGCTCGTCGCCACGATCATTGCGGCGGCTGTGCCGGGGGATTTCAGGACCGCCACTGCGGTGGGCATACGAGGAAGAGACCCATGATTGCAGCGTGTCATCTGTTTGTTTCTTGTGAATTGCCTTCCTTGCAGGATCTGCTTGATGCAACTCCCCTGTGGTGGCTGTTCACGCTCCAGTACGTTCGTGTGTTGGCTGTCGGGACACTAATCAAGGTCTGCCGGCTGCGAAGCAGAAGCCACCAGCCGACCAATGGCAAATTCCTTCCTGACTTCGTTTCATGTGTGTGCAGTATTTCCGGGGCAAGCTGCCGCTGTGGTGGGCCGCAATGCCGGCGACTGTCGACTTCCTCCATGCGGTGCCCGTGTTGGTCACGGGCATCTGCCTGACGGCCGGCGTGGCGGTCAACACTTCGTTCCTCATTTTCCTCTGCGCTGTGGGCATCTCGGTGGCACCACTCGCCGTCATCGTAAGCAGCGATCAACACATTTCTACGAGACACACAGACACAAGCGTGTTGCGGCATCCGTGTGTGTTGTTTGTTCAGTTCCTGTATTACTATCTGCCGTCTTTGTGGGGGTTTGGGTATACTGGCGGGCGGAAGCCCGACACACGAGAGGTGCTGAGCTACCCCATGGTGCTGATGCCCACATACGCCGTGCCATCCATGGTGGAGTTTCAGCTCTTCACATTGATCAAGCTGGTCACGTGATTGTGTACCAGGGGCGGAGTGCCGATGCCAGTGTCATTTGTCAGCGTTTGTAGATAAGATAGGCCTGCATGATGGTAGAATGGCCATGTGTGTCGTTCCCGGTGCTTTCTTTTGTTCAAGGGAGGCTCGGGGACCTGTACATTGACTGTGTGGTTGGCTGACTGATGTCTAGCAGGTGTATGCGGCATGTGTGAGTGACTCGTCTCTATTTCCTCGGTCAAATAAATACCATCACAGGCAGACGACCTCGCTTATAAAGCCATCCATCCATCGTCTCACGATCGAGTCGTCATGCCATGCCGTCCATCGTGCACACCACAGGTCAGGCGGACACACCATGCAGGTAGGTATTCAAGCAGCCCTGTCCTCACCACCGAGCATCAAAAACCTTGCTCGATCGGCGGGGGAGGGACAGCGTCACGGACAGACACCACGCACCGACAAGTCTGCAGAGAGAGAGAGAGAGGGAGCGGCGTGTGGCCTCGCTGTCTGTCAATTCCAAGGGCATGGATGATTTCTGCGCAGCACCGCAGTCAGACGTTCAGACCAAGCAGCACACGGTTTCTGATCGAGACGTTTATCCGATCAGTCTTCGTGCAGCACTTGACCACGACGGTAGACAGCAGTGACGCGCATCCAGACCAAGGCACACAAGAACCAAGGGCAAGAAAACAGGCTAGCTAGCTTCCCTGCATCCCATGCGCCGATCGATGCATCCGTTGTCCCGCCCCACCGCCGACGGCGACCGCCAGTGTATTCTCATGCACTGGGTATCGACGTCGACAGTGAGGAGAAGACACAACGAATGCATCGATCACGCTACTGAGACGTGGGCAGGGTGATACACAGTGACATCATCCAAAAGTGACCCAAACCACACACACACCGGCTGGCATCACTGCCCGCTGCGTCTCGTCTCTCTTCACGCGTGTGTGTGTGTGTGCGTGCTGCTGCCGACATGATGCTCCGGTGGCCAGGCAAGTGCTGGTCAAGACGATCATCTGAGCAGCACTCGCCTCACCACCTCCAGGACCAGTCGGCAATGCAGACACCACAGCACACGCAGGAGGACATACCAGAGAGAGAGAGAGAGAGACGCATCATCTTCGCTCAGTGCGCCAGGCAAAAAGATGGCCACAGAACACACGGACACATCCACTACACACACGCAGATGGATAAAACCACACACACACGTGTCCACAGGGAGCCCGACTGACATCAAAAACGACCAATCGCCAGGCATCGCATCCACCCCCTCACGAGAAAGTGGCCCACTCCGTTGCACCAGCCTCATCTCATGCACGCCCCAGCTATTCCGCATTGACGAAGTTGTCAACGTGGTTCTCATGCTGCGAGGAGCCGATGGCAGAGGCGATGACGAGCAGGTACACAAACGACAGGATGGACCCGATCAGCACCGCCCGTCGCGCCCACATCTTGCGGGCGCTCGTCTCGGGCGCCGTCACGTTGTGGCAGAATCCTATGCAACCTGCACGCACAGACACACACACGGATGATGCGTTGCTGCATTCGAAGCCCTTTGTGTGCGTGTGTGCGTGTGTGCGCGTGTGTGTGTGTGTGTGTGTCTGACCAGCGATGGGGAAGATGAAGCTGAGCCAGAAGCTGGCAACGACGCACGTGAGGGGCACGTCGTCCTTGCGGTAGTAACTCGGACCACGACCTATCTCGTGCGAAGGCTGCACACACACAGACGCAGCGCACATCAGCAGGGCAGAGATCCATCGAGTGCAGTCTGTCCCTTCGCCCCCCCGTCCGTCCGGTTATACCTCCATCTCCTCCTCTTTGGTGGCAGCATGGGTGGCCTCATCCTCGATGACCCTGTCGGCCACCGCCCTGCCTTCCTCCAGGTCTACCTCGACCATCGCCTCCGAATCCACCACTTCCACTACAGATCCCACCTTGCCGCTACCACCGTCACCGCTCATGGCTTCACCTATTCTGCGTTCTTTGCTCCACGAACGACTGCGCGCTTGGATCGCAGGAAGGCCAGAGAAAGGAGAGAAGAGGCAAGACAGCGCACCATACGTCTTGGTGGCTCATGTTGGCAGCGTCCTGTGCCATACCGACTCCTGCACTCATGGTGAAACCACACACACAGCGCTTTTGACCCACCGGTTGTGTCGTCGATTCCCTTCCCTCTTGTGTGTTTTCTCCATGCAGGTGATCCCTTCCTGTCGCTACAAGCCCGGCACTCGCGTGCTGCAGGCGTCGGCCGCACCGCGGCGGGGATGGGTGGCGGCGGAGGTGTATGCCACAACCAGCACGCCAGGCGGTACACGGGTGTCCATGAAGGAGGCGGGCGGCAGGGAGCTCTTCGAGGCGGTGGTGCCCAACAGCATCGCACGGTTCAGGGAACTCGAGCCACACGCGGTTGGCAAAGCAGACAGCTGTAGACCGGGTTGCTCACTCAGTCGACAGGGATGGCTTTCTCTGGTGTGTCTGTGTTGGAATGATCAGGTGCGTGGCGGCTTTCGGTATTTCGCTACTGGGAGTCGCCTGCGTCCTGACATGGGTGACACACAGACGGTACGCGCTTCGGGATCTGAAGCTTTTGCATCTTTCTCCTCTTCATTTCTCTTCTCCATCGGGTGCTTGTCATTCAGGTTCGCCACAGCTTCGCCAGCCTCCCCTTCTCCCTGCATCCCCTTCTTGCCGACCTGCTGGACATCGATGACGCCCTGACCCTCCGGCTGGTCAAGACCGACTTCATTGTCGCGACAGAGCACCCAATCGATGGTGCCTACTTCACCAGCCGCCTCTCAAAGGCTATCGACAGCCACATGAGCCTCGGCGCTGAGCTGCTGCGTGTGGCGGCCATCGAGGGCCCCCGCCATCGGCGCATCCGCAGCGACGGGACAACGTGGCTGAGTGTGTCTGACGAGCTGCCCCGTGTGCTGAGGCGGCTGTTTGTGCTGGAGCATGGCGGCGAGTGGGTCAGATGGCGGCCGCATCTGGTGATCTTCCGGCTGATCTGCGACGAGCCACTGGTGCTGGGTGAGGCGACCTTCGAGCATGTCAGCACGCGGGCAGGGCGACAGGCATTCCTGGCCGCCCCAGAGGCCATGAGACAGCTGAGCGTCATCGGGAAGGAGCTCGTGGTTGAGGGCCGGCAGCTGATGGAGGGCGATGATCGGCTAAGGGACTTCGGCGAGGACCGTTTCGACCACTTCACCGTCCTCCCCAATCCCTCGCCCCTCTTCCCACCTGATGCATTCGACCGCAACAACCCGCCAGCGCGTTACACTGGGCATGACGAGGTGTATCGCTCTCTCACATGTCTGGTGGGTGTGCGCCTCTTGGCCGCCTGTGAGGAGATCCGGAATGACTCCATCAGGCAGTGGACATCTGCTCAGCGCGACTCGGCATGTTTCCGTCGATGCCAGCAGCTGCTGACGGCCCCATTCAGTGGGCCGGTCGAGGGGTGCCCAGTGTTCGACTGCGCCACTGGAGGCCTTCCTGACAACCCGGGGCATTTTCGGAGTCTGCTGCTGACAAACGAGGTGGTGGACAAGGAAATTGTGGCAGAGCTGATGGTTGCCGACGGCAGCAGTGAAGGGCGGGACGTCATGGCTGTCCTGGTGTTCACGACCGAGCTTCGCCCATACACAGAGACACGTGCTGCCGTGATGCGTGTGTGCGGCGCTGAGCTGGGCCACAAGGTGTGGGAAGAAGAGGAAGAACCACCGTCAAATGATGAGGAATCGGACAGTGATGGCGATGATGGCGGGGCGGTGGAGGGGGAGGGGTTAGAATGACTTCGTGTCGCTGTGAGATGTTAATATGGTTGGACATTCTGCTTGTTGGCATGTTAACACTGTGTTCTGATATCGGTCGACACACAACCAAGCCCTTGAACGAAATGTAGAGTCCGTTCCCAAGTGCACATGACCATGTCTGTCTCTGTCTCGTGCACACTGCCGCCTATCCACACACTCGATCGGATGGATGACGCGACGTCTCCCATCAGCCTCAACGGCCACCGTCTTGGCGTGGCTCCTGGTGCTCTGGCCTTGGGTGGTGCTCTCGGGCGACGATGGGTGAGGGATCGACGACGATTTGTTGACCGACGATGGACCGACTGCCTTCTCTGTCGAGCACACGCAGAAGCACTCCAACGATTGAGCTTCAATTTGTTGTCTGGCCTACTGGTGATGTCTCTTGCCAAGAAGGACATATAGGCTACATTGGGCTTGTCTTTGATCTGCAATGATACAAACAAGGTATCTTCGCGGATGGCAGAACGCCTGGGCAGAGGAAAGATGCGTACCATGTTCGCGTCGGTTTGAGCTGCGAGGAAAGCAGCGAGAACAACAGCTGCCAGTGCAAAGCCCAATATCTGGCGAAGTAGCGCCATTGTTGCGATGTGTCCTGGTGTCCTTCACGAGGGGGCCGCGGAAGACCGAGACTCCGTCGCCCCTCAGTCTCGCCCCCCAAGTCGCCCCCACTTATTTATAGGATCGTGGCAACAAGGCACAAAGCAACAGGCACAAACCGACTGCAGAAGAGAAGAATGGCCGGCGGACAACCCTCCGTGTCGCAGGCTTCGACCAGCCAAGGTCCCAGACGATTATCACTGCAAGTGTTCCTCCGACAGAATATCATGCTCATCCTTCTGGGCGCCTTCGCGGCACGTAAGCAACAGCAGGCCCCTTGCTATCTCTCGCGCCATCATAACGCATCTTGCTCTCTCTCTGCCCCCAATGCACATGTGCAGTGACCGACTGGTTCTCCTTCTGGGAGATGATCATCGACGAGCCGTCGCAATACACCATTCCGGCTCTGTGCAAGCGACTCCTTCTCGCCTCTGCCGCTGTCTCGACGGCTCTGCTCGTCCTCAAATGGTGCCTGGAGTACGTCCAAATGAATGCCACACTGGTAGGCAGTGGGGACATCATTGTGTGAGCAATTTGCTGACGTCTTTGGTGCCTTGCGGTCGCTCAGGTGCAGCGCAAGAAGGGACAATCGGGCGACATCGAATTAGGCGAACGCTCCCGTCTCATCGACTCAGGCGTGAACTCTCAGGCAGCGACCCCGCAGGGGCCATCCCTTACGGCACCCATCATCACTTGCTTCGAGCGGCCCGACCCTCCTCGGTGGCTCGTCAGGATGATCACGGTGCTGAACGGCATCTCCGTCCTCAACGACAGCATCGACTTCATCAACGTCGTGATCATTCTTTGCGCCATCGGCAACCCCCGAAGCCACGCGATGGGGATACTCATCAGCAATCTCTCCTTGAATCTGCTGAATGCCATCGCCTCAGCCTACAAGGCAATGGGCTTCGAAGCCTCGCGAATGCGCATGCAACAGCTAGCGCAAATCACAAGCAAAGGGTTGGACGAGCTCGTTCTGTTCGATATCGTTCGGATGTTGGCTACCGCTGTACCGGCGGTCTTTATTATGCCTTGTGGGGTGACCGGCGTGCTTTTTGCGCCTTTTGGGTTGATCGGCGCCCTTCTTGCTAATTCTTGGTGGCTTTGGTGGATGACCTGGATTGGGCGCCTTTTTTGGTGGTTTGCCATCTTTCTGATGCTGACGAAATTAATTTATGGACTCTTTATGGGTATCGTGACGCACTGCCTCATTCCGAGGGAGCTTCTTTCGGATGTTCTTCTCTTCGACTACTGCCGATTGGGTCTTTTACATTTGCTGATCGCGGAGCTTGTCTATACAACCAGCACCTGGATTACCTTCTTCACGATTGCGGTATTCAACGAGAGAGTCCCAACATGGCTCTGGCACCTCTACTTTCTCTGCCCCGCCACAGAAACCCTCATCCTTTACCCTTCTCTAATTGCAACACTCGAGCAGAAAATTGACGCCAGAGGGCCAATCCTTTGCCCGTCTCTGATCGCAATACTCGAGGCCAAGGTTGACGCCAGAAGCCATCGTGATGCAAGACGCAATCGTCTCTCTAGCATACTCTGCAAAGGCCTTCTCGGCCTGGTATGCAATGTCCTGTTCCTCTGCTATCCCACTTACCAGCTGCAGCTGCTCCCCATAGCCAACATCATTTTGACGGTGGCGGTCGTCAGTTGTCAGCTGATTAGAACACACATCGGCATCCAGCACGCCGAGCTCATCGATCGAATCGACCAGATTCGAAACGGAGACGCTCCTTTATTGGCCATGAAAGAGCTCGTCGACAGTGGCGCAGATCCAAACATGGCAAACGGAGAGCCGCTTCATCGCGCAGTGATGGCCGAGACAGCGACCGGCGATAGCCCCTTGGCGTGGGATGCTGATGGCGCGCGAGCCGCTCGGATTTTCAACACTGTGGAGCTGCTGCTGGAGGCCGGGGCAGACCCCAATCTTGGCACACGGCAGCTGGCCGGCGGCCAAGTCGTGACGCCTTTAGACGAAGTGGTGAGCGGGGTGATAAGCATGAAGAGATGGATGCCACATAGATTCACACACACGGCCTGACTGCGTGTCATGTGTGTGCAGGTAATACAGCCTGAGCTGAATCATGTCGCCGCCCTCCTCAAAGCCAATGGGGCTCGGCATTCGGACGACTACTATAAATACGGCGGACATACCAATCAGCCACGCTACGCCGCCCTTTTGATGCGATCCAAGGCACTGATTTGCGATGCACACGTGGCGACAAGAATTTTGATTGAAGTGCGACGAGAGAATAGCGAGAAAGCTCTAAAGGCAGTGCGTGCCGATACAGCTGATGCTTCATCCAGCCAGGGCCCGGCCCAAGGGCCCAGACTATCACTGCAAGTGTTCCTCCGAGAGAACATGATGCTCATCCTTCTGGGCGCCTTTGCAGCCCGTAAGCAACAGCAGGCCTCTTACCATCTCTCGCGCCATCATAACGCATCTTGCTCTCTCTCTGCCCCCATTGCAATGTGCAGTGACCGACTGGTTCTCCTTCTGGGAGATGATCATCAACGAGCCGTCCCAATACACCATTCCCCTCCTGTGCAAGCGACTCCTTCTCGCCTCTGCCGCTGTCTCGACGGCTCTGCTCGTCCTCAAATGGTGCCTGGAGTACGTCCAAATGAATGCCACACGGGTACGCAGGGGAGACATCATTGTGTGAGCAATTTGCTGACGACCTGTGCCTTGCGGTCGCTCAGGTGCAGCGCAAGAAGGGACAATCGGGCGACATCGAATTAGGCGAACGCTCCTGTCTCATTGACTCGGGCGTGGACTCTCAGGCAGCGACCCCGCGAGGGCCGTCTCCCACGGCACCCATCATCGCTCGCTTCCACCGGCCCGACCCTCCTCGGTGGCTCGTCAGGGTGATCACGGTGCTGAGCGGCATCTCTGTCCTGAACGACAGCATCGACTTCATCAACGTCGTGATCATTCTTTGCGCCAACCCAGGAGCCGGTGCTATCGGCACACTCATCTGCAATCTGTTTTTGAATCTGCTGAATGCCATCGCCTCAGCCTACGAAGCCATGGGCTTCGAAGCCTCGCAAGAGCACGTGCAGAAGCAGCTGGCGCAGAACATAACAGCCTCACTGAAAAAGCATACCCCCACAATTCCTTATCTGCATCTGGGGGCCCCCTTTCTGTGTGGCGTCGGGACGCTGGGCGGGTTGGTAGGTGCATTTCCTGCTTGGTGGATCTTCATCTGGATCGGGGAGTTTCTCTGGTGGGGGGCTGTTTTGCTGTTCTTCATCGGCATTGTGATTGAAATTTCTATTGGCATCGTGACCCACTGCATGATTCCGAGAGAGCTTCTTCCGGATGTTATTCTTCCCGATTACAGCCGATTGGGTCTTTTGCATGTGCTGATTTCGGAGCTTGTCGATGCCATCACCGATTGGATTACATTCTTTTCGATTGCGGTCTTCAGCGAGAGAGTCCCCACATGGCCTTGGCGCCTCTACTTTTTGTCCCCCCTGGTAGGGACCTTTATGCTTTATCCTTCTCTGATTACCATGCTTGAGGCCAAAGTTGACGCCAGAAGCCATCGTAATGCCAGGGGCAATCGTCTTTGCAGCATACTCTGCGAAGACCTTCTCGGCCTGATATGCAATGTCCTCTTCCTCTGCTATCCCACTTACCAGCTGCAGCTGCTTCCCATTGCCAACATCATTCTGACGGTGGCAGTCATCAGTTGTCAGCTGATTACAGAGTTCACGGGACTCCAACACGCCGAGCTCATCGATCGAATCGATCAAATTCGAAAGGGAGACACGGGGTGGAAAAGCATGAGGCAGCACATGTACGATTTCTTTCTCGTCCGTTATCAAGAAGGGGCAGCAGATGCTTTGATGGCTGTGAAGACGCTTCTTGATAATGGCGCAGATCCAAACATGGCGTGCGGCGAGCCGCTTCATCGCGCAGTGATGGCCGAGACAGCGACCGGCAGCCCCTTGGCGTGGGATGCTGATGGCGCGCGAGCCGCTCGGATATTCGACACTGTGGAGCTGCTGTTGGAAGCCGGAGCAGACCCCAACCTTGGCAAGCGTCGGCCGGGCGGTCTAATCGTGGCGCCTTTAGACGAAGTGGTGAGCGGAGGGATAAGCATGAAGAGATGCCATGGCCTGACTGCGTGCCATGTGTGTGCAGGTGATGCAGCCGGAGCTGAAGGATGTCGCTGCCCTCCTCAAAGCCAATGGGGCTCAGCATTCGGACGACTACTACAAATACGGCGGACACACCAATCAGCCACGCTACGCCGCCCTTGGAATGCGGTCCAATGCCTTGGATCGTCAGTATGACAAACTAATTTCTCAGACAGACGTTTTTTCTACAGATTCAGTAAGAGAAGATTTAAATGTTCCAAGTCGAGATGGGAAATTATGCGTGTGATACCCGTGTCTTTCTGCAGCGACGAAAGAGAATCATAGATGAGCTAGAGGATGAAGAAAAGGCTTTGGAAGCCGAATTGAAGACCCTCGCCAAGGCAGAGCATGCCGAAACAGCTGATGGACAGGTATAAATATGCTAGTGACAAATAGTTATCATAATTGTCTTCTTGTGCTGTCATTGATGGTCAGCTCTCGTGAGTGGAACCTTCTGGATGGGAGCCCTTGTGTGCATGACGTGACAACGCAACATTCAGTCAGCTGAATGTGAGACTCGACGATGCACATCGAAGATTGCTGACAATCAATGCAGAGCCTCCCACCAATTAATATCATATCTCAACCATCCACTAGTCACTGTATCTCACCCGCTTCCCGACAGTCTCTCTCTCTCCCGGTCCTTTGGTGTGCCAAAAACCGAGTCAGTGGCTCATTTAGGTGGATGTATCTGCAAGAGCAGCTCTCTGCCTGGCTGCTCGGAGATACTTGAGAGACAGGCAGGCAGGCAGGCAGGCAGGCAGACACACACGGGGAGAGGGAGTGAACCTGCTCACACACTCTTCAATCAGTTGTGCTTCTGCACAGAGAGACACGCGCACTCAGATTCACATCCCTGTGTGGCCTTCATTTAAGCACATGTTTGTGTGTGTGTGTGTGTGTGTGTGTATACGTGTGTGAACCCATTTGTGTGGTCGGACCGTCCATGCTTTTTCACACCAATCGTTTGTCTCGCCCTCATCCATCTCTCTGCAGGTGGTCAGCTGTTCAGTCAGCTCGTGCCATCAAAAAGTGCTTTATATGAGTCGTGTGCGGCAGCAGAAAAAGAAACATCGAATATAAAAAGTAGACAGCGATGGCATCAGTATCTCTGCTCTTGAACGGCTGTAATCGCTGCAGACAGACACACAGACAATAAGCCTTAAGTCAGCCAACTGTAGCTGTGTCTCGTACATCTTCAGCATGACACACGGGTGATGGCCACCTGCTCACGCACAGGAAAGGTTTTGCGTGTCCTCTTCCCGCCCTCCATCCCCCAGCCCTCCATCCCCCAGGCCCTCCAGGTGTTGTTCTCGAAGGTGACCCTCTCCAGCCCCTTCTTCGTCGCCACCGTATCTGTCCGCTGTAGCTCATGACGGTCTTCGGCCAATATCTGATGATACATGATGACGAAAGACAAGGAGAGCAGAGGTAGGACGTTCTCAGACAGTGAGGTAGGATGTAATTGGCTTGGGTGGGTGGGATGTTAGGCTATGGTACCTGCTTTCTCGAATCCATGATCCTTGACATAAAAGTACTTGGCCATCCGAGTGGGGTCGCCCTTCTCGTACCACCTTGCCACACACCCCCTAGCCGCGCAACACTCATCTTTCGCGGAATATGAGTCGACGGGAGGACCACCAGAACCTCGTCCTTATCGTCCTCCTCCGGAACGTCGCAGTCGCTGTTATAGTTGGAGCTTGTGCCGCAGCAGCAGCGGCAGTCCCTCCCCCCCCTCCGCCCCGTCCACGCCCACGACGGCCACCACTCGCATAATGGTGATGCCCTGCGTCCTCTTCAGCCTCTTCACAGCCATCACTCTCGGCGTAGTGTCGTACCTCACGCCTGAGACGGCGCTGCATGGCCGTCGCATGGACCCCTCGGCCAGTGGCGGTGCCCTTTGTGTCTCTGTCGTCCGCGCTGCTGTCACTTTCACGATCTCGGTCACGATCGCGATCCCGGTGCGCTTGCCCTCCTGAACCGCACCGGTTGTTTGTCGATTTGCCTGTTGGTCTTGGAGTAGCGGCGCCACTGCCCATGTCCTCGGTGTCCTCGTCCTGCTCGCTGTCTTACATGGCCTCGCCCTTGAGAATGGGATGGTGCCGTTCTTTCATCTGGCGGCGGTGGGTGATGGCCGCTTGTTTAGCACCCTCGTATCCCAGCTTGCGGGTCGAATTTTCTTCGCTTCCTCTTCCCGCCCTCCATCCAGCAGGCCCTCAACGCGTTGTTCTCAAAGGTGACCCCCTCCAAGCCGCTGTGGTGCTCCAGCTCGAGCCTCTTCTTCGTCGCCACCCTTTCGGTCCGCTCTAGCTTGAGACGAAACTTTCGGCCAATATCTGATGACACATGATGAGGGAAGACAAGGAGAGCAGAGGAAAGGATGTATTGGCTTGGGTGGGATGTTGGCTATGGTACCTATGCTTTCTCGAATCCATGATCCTTGACATGAAAGTACTTGGCCTTCTGCTTTGGGTCGTCCATCTCGTGTACGACCTTGCCTCCCACGCCCGAAATTTCTCGGACCACCACACTCCCGTCTTGATGGGTGGCTTTGGCTTGGCGGCTGGTTCGCTCCGTTCGGCTTTCTTGGTGCGTCCGTCGCGTCTCTGGAGCGGTGGCTGGCGGAGGAGTGGGTGTGGGCTCCGTCTTGGGCATTGGCGGGGGCGGGGGGAGAGGATTGAGGGGGCTAAAGCGCTTGTACAGCTGCTGAAGCTTCTTCACCAGCTGACGATAGACAGAGAAAGGGCATCCATATGAATTGATCGATCATTTCCTTCTCACGAGTGAAGAGCATGATGGATTTGGGCATCTTTTCATGTCGCCATCGTCCCGCAACACCCTGTGGGTGGGAAACCCCCCTGGTAAGCGATGCAAATACAATAGATGATACAAGGAAAGCATCATCATTGCGATGGCTGGGTTTACCGGTCCATGCTTTGACGGGCGACAGCTCGAATGCCTCTGGCGTGAGTGCGGCGTCTCTGGCGATCGTCTTGAGGAGGGCCTCGACTGACGGAATGGACGCTCCAAAGAGCATTTGTGGAGTGTACCCGCCCTCCAGCACTGCAGCCATAGACGCATATCCGATGCGTGTCATTCTGTGTCTGTTTTTTCTGCGTCTGTCGAGCATGACTTTTCCGTCTGCGTATATCTCGGCGGGGCGGCAAATCTGCTCCGTCATCCATTTTGAAGAACCCAGGACTCACGTACACTCACCTGCACACACGACACATGGGCACACGATGTCATCTCCATCTCTCATGCGTGTACATGTCGGCTCACCCACGGGTCGAACTCTACTCGCCCAGCGCCGAACGTCGTCACAGTCGATAGCGTCCGTCCTCCTTGCTTTTGCTTCGGACTCCTGAGCAGACAGTTGTTGAGGAGGAACTTTTCCCCTCCTTTTCTCGCCGTCTCCCTTTCTCGCCCCCTCCTTTTCTCGCCGTCTCCCTTTCTCGCCCCCAGTAAATTGGATGCATCCGATTCCGAAACGATGAGTTTTTGGTGGGACTGGCCATGGCGCCGCTGCCTTGTGGTTGCGCTCGTCGCGGTGGGCCTGACATGCAGCCCGTGTGGTCCCTTCCTCTGTATCTTTCGCGCTGGTTCTTCACCGTGGTGTTCTTGGTGGTGCTGGCCGTGGTGGCGGCATTCGCTGCAGTGGCGGCGGTCCTTCGATGGTCTCTCCGCCGTGAGCCCCTCTCCGGGCTGCTGCGAAGCATAAGCCGACAGCCGCTGTTCGCTATCCTTGCCGCTACTGAGATCTCCCGACGGCTTTCCCATTCAGCATCGGAAGGCGTTGCCGTCCAATCGCTGATGGACGCCGATGCTATTCCCGTCCTGGTCAAGGTCTTGGCGTCCAGCGCTGACTTGACCCTGGTGCATCATGTTGCCACCTTCTTGGTTCACATGGCCAGTCACTCGGCAGCGGCGTGCGAAGCCATTCTGGAGACGGGCGTGATTGAGCCACTGCTGGAGAGGCTGCGTAGCAAGACCAAAAGGCAAATCGGGGTCCCCCAGCACTGCGTTGCGCTGCTGATGCTTCTATTGAGCAGAAACCCGCTGCTGCCCCTCTGGCTGGTGGCAGAGTGTGTGCGTGTGCTGGTGATGCTGGTCGAGACACCTGGCCAAGACAGGGCCCTGCTGCACATGGCACTGCTGACTCTTTGTGTCGTCTTCGATATTGCAGAAAGCCAGGGTTTTCCTTTGCTCATGGAGGTCATGCGATTGGGCTCTGCCATGTCTCGTCACCTGCCCCCTTCCTGCCACAGCTGCCGTCCCGCTGCGAGTACCTAGGGTTCTACTGTGTACAAGCGCTAGTCCTGCGGACAACCCGGCGCCTCCTGGGGCGCCTCATCGAGGGTCAGAGGGCTGAACAGGAAGAGCACATGGTATGGAGTCAGTTCTTTGACATTTGTCACTTCGTTGACTGACAGGTGGGGACTATCGTCATTTTGTTGGTGTCCTTTTGGAGCACATGGCCCAGCTCAAGGCGATGTTGGCGTCGGGCAATCCGCTCATCGCCAAGGAGGCATCATTGACTGTCGCCGCAATCGCAGATACAGGTATGGGATACAACGCGTCCCATCTTTGGGTACATTGTATATGTGTGCCTGCAGGTCTGCACGGTGCCATTCAGTCGGTGATCGATGGGGGCTTGGTGCCTGTCCTGATTGAGCGGCTGTCGGGCAGCAAGGGCGAAGCAGCGCTGGCACTGTACAACATCACGTCAAAGGGATCACAGGCACAGGTAAATCCTCAGCTAAGGAGACAAACAGGGATGGATGCGCGTCTCTGTCTCTTGTACGGGCCTGCAGGGCGAGTATGTGGTTGAGTGTGGGTGCATCGATCCCCTATGTGGCGTGCTGGACAGCGACAACCCTGCGGAGGTCCGACTGGCGCTGATGACACTCGATGGCATTCTGCGGTCTGTCAGGCAGCACATAGATCACACGCACAAGGGGCGGCACCCATTAATGCATTGTGTGGCTGTGTCGTCGCCCATCCATGTGTATGCAGTGTGGGTGAGCAGAAGCAGGCGGCCGACGGCCTCGCAAACAACCCCTACTGTGACCTCGTCCACCAGGTCAGTCACCATGAGGGCAGGGAGGAGACACAATTGAGGGCAAGACGGTCTGGCTCATGGGGTTTCTGCGTATGGGGAGGGAAACGACAGGCTGGCGGCGTGGCCAAGATGCGACATCTGGCGCTGCACGGCACGGAAGGGCTCAATCGATGGGTCAGCAATGAAGCCAACCGTTCACGCCACAACTCTGCCCCCCTTACGTATGGCGTGGCTGCAGTGTGTGGCACTCCTAAGGTCGTACTTCCCCCAGTCTGTGCCGGAGCGCCCCGAGGAGCGAGACACGGACGAGGGCTCATCCGCTGGAGGCAGTGACATCAGCGACATTGATTGACCCACAAACATGCATGGATACATGAGCACGCCAGGCATGCGTTCATGTGCGTGTTTGTGTTTTGATGCTTTGCTTAGTGTGTGGCTGTCGGGCGGTTGGGGGGCTTGTGGTGCATGTCAATGGCCGACAATGGATGGCGGATGCATGGATGGATGGATGGCGTGTACACTGTGTATACCAGATGGGATATCAACGGATGGTCAGCACACACAACAATATCTGTGGACATCACAAACGTTTCAGCACTCGTCGTGGTGCCAGCTGCTCAGAAACTAACAGACAACACAGCGCACCGAGCCAACCGTTGGCCGGGACGTGTGCGCCATTACACACGTCATCAGCCAGACCGTAGCGACCACAAATAAGCACACATAAATCGACGGAAAAAAACAGGCTCAACAGACCATTTAGCCACTTAGCCACCTGTCTAGTCCAGCCGACTTATTTATCACTGCATGAGGCACGTCGTACGTGTACACACTCCAGGGGTTGGGCAGCTGACAGACAAACAGACAGACAGACAGACAGGCAGACAGGCAGACAGACAGACAGACAGGCAGACAGACAGACAGACAGGCAGACAGACAGATAGACAGACACATAGACCGAGGAAGCCTCCAACGGTTGTATCATGTAGCGAGACAGGCCCATTGGTGAGACAAGGCCATTTGGGAGTCGATCTGTGTGGCCACTTATGTGCCTGTCTTCACATGCGTGTTCACGCGTACGTGTGTGCAATATGCTGTATCTACTGAAGTCGCATGTGGCATGACTACTGGTGATATCTGGTATGAGTGTGAATACATATCTTGATTCATCAGAGCACAGAGCTGTGTGACAGAGTTTTGACATATATATTTCCCTACGATGTCCACCGTACTTGTCACAGATAACGAATGATAAACAAGAAGCAGACAAGGCACGCAAAAACGGTCACCGGCACAAGAAGCGGCACATTAATCATGTGCATCAATCATTGCCGTATCCAACATGAAGCCTGTGCGAGAGTGCCTGGCAGAAAAAGCGAGTACGCCAGACGACGGCAGAAACATCGACGGCCGCATGCACATCACCCAGATCTCCCGCAGCCATAGCTATAGCAACCACTCTCTCCATCCATGTCTTCTCTTCTACGTCCCCTCCGGTCCACCTTGTTGGATGAGTGTATCCCCCCACCGGGCACAGCCACTATGGCTTGAATCCGAGACTCGCGAGAGGATCAACCGCAAGCTCGATGCAGCCCAGCAGGAACAAGAGAAGCGCGCGGAGCTGGTGCACCTCAGCTGTGTTGGTTCGCTTCAACGCTGTGCAGGCCATTTGTCGAGTTTGCCGATAAGATATCGTCTCACGTCGTATCGAGAAGTGGCTCCAGTAATTCCGCAGAGGCGGATGAGACAAAGCGTGATCCATGGCCGCTGCTCCTCATAGAGACGCCTCGATTCGAATGGGTTGTCGGATTTGCGCTGGCTGGCTGAGTTGAGTGCGGTTGGCTGTTCGTCGGTCTCTTCCGTCCTAGTACAGCAACCCAAAAACAAGCACCGTAAACAGCAAATGACGCAAGCATTTGTCTTTTGGTCCCTGTCTGACTCACTTGACGGTGCGGGTGCGATCATGACGAGCACGATGGGCTCTTTCGCGTCGATCTTCTTCCGATGCACACGTCTGATAGACAGAAGGAGGAGCGCAATAGAAAGCACACATTGTGACACATGTGCATGTGTGGTGTGGCGTCTTCAAGCATACGCACTTGACAGGGTCGGAAAGGAGGAAAGGCTCTTCGTCTTCGCCTCTGGGATACACGATTTGGTAAACAGCTGGCGGCTTCTGATCTCCGGCTTGGTCGTAGCAGTGCACCAGCTTTTGCAGGGCCACCCCCCTCAGGTCCTCAAATGAGGTGTCGTCGCGCAGCGGCATGTCAAACTCTAAGACGGGGTTGCCGGTCTGCTGCGTGCCTCTGTAGTAGACCTTCACTAGGACCCGCGGCAGAATAGGCATCTCAAGCTCTCCGCCGGCGGCCACTGCAGGCGCTGCCGGCGGCTGCTTCAGGCGATGCGACGCTGCAGAGATCGATCGCGTGACTGACCAGCCACCCACACACAGACAGACAAGGACAGCGAGGGAGGGTGCTGTGTGCATGGATGTGTGTGTGTGTGTGTGTGTGTGCGGTGTGTGTGACGGCACACCTGATGCACGTAGAGATCTCAGGCAAGCCACACCAGCGACGCGCACAATGAGGACCTGACACACAGCCAGATGGTCTTCATGTGAAAGCCACGATGCCTCTCTGTTTGCCCTTGTTTGCCTGGCTTTGCCTTTCTTTGCCATCGGGCAAGCGAGTGGGGCCGTTTACCATAAGCGGGGCCGGCCGCCTCAATGCCGCTGCGAGCTTGAAGCCGAGCTCGCATCGCAGGAGTATCTACCGTGACATACTCAAGTGGCGCACTCTAAGGTAAAGAGGGCTATGGTAAACGGCCCCACTCGCTTGCCCGGTGGGGGAACCGCAAAAGCCAGGGAAACAAGGGTAAACAGCGGGTAAACAGACGAGGCACTCGCAGCGATGTGACTGTTTGCCGAGGACTCTGACTGTGTCGTTTGGTTAGCAAAGACTGCCACTTGTGGAAAGAAAATGAGTCTGTCGGTCAGGCCAGTCAGTGTCTTTCTGAATGTATACACACGAAGGCACGTGAATGCATCCCAACCGACCGCTCATATCCATCCACACACCCAGTCGACCATCTAATGTGCGGCCATCCAGCCATCACTGAGGCTCTTCATCAGTGGGGAAGGTCGGCATGCGCAGCGGCATAGCGGCCTCCTGCTGTGAGAGGTGCTTCTTGACGTCTACCAGGGCTTGGAAACCACTGATGTGACGCAGAGACATGGACGGCACACAGAAGAAAGAAATGATCTTGGCGTGTGTCTTGCCATTCTCTCTCACTCGTTGAGTGCCTTGACGACAGGCGGCTGGGCAGCATCGACCATGCGCACACTCTGCAGACCGAGAGACACACATAGACAGACAGACAGACAGAGTCTTGCATCATGGCCATGTGTGTGCGTACCTCTTTGATGATGTCACATGCCGTCTTGGCCCTCTGCTGCCACTCCTCACGCTGAGCGGTGATCTGGTCACGCAACAGCTGCCAGACAGAGACAAGGAAAGAAGACAGATACATGTGGGTGGATGGATGGATGGATGTGTGGGAGTGCCTCTTTTTCCTCCTCGATTTGGCGCAGGCTGCGTTCCTCGTCCGCCTGCTCCTTCTCAACCTTGGCTATCGTCGCCTGCACACACACACACACACACACACACACACACCAAGAAACCGTCCATTTGTCCCCTGGTCTATGCATTGTTATGTGTGGGCGACCCACTCGCCCACCTGTGTCTCCTTGTTGATGTTGTTTACTTCCTCCTCGTGCTGCTTCTGCAGCCGCTGCAGTTCGTCCACGTGACGCTCATACCGACAGTGAGACCGGTCCTTGGCCTGCACACACAGAGAGAGAGGCGGGGGCATCCGAGGGTGGTGTGTTTGGGCGGCGTGCGTGTCGGTAGGGAGGGTGGGAATGTACTTGTTGGTTTTGTTTGATGGTCTTTGTCATGGCGTCGATGGCCCTCTGCAGCTCATCCGCCTCAGCACTCAACTGTTCACAGAATACGACAGGCCTTTCACACACGGCACGACACACCGCAGATATCTCACCCACTTACCTTGCTATGGTGTTGGGCCTCCTGCTCGATTAGCCCCTCCAGCTGATCACGAAACCTTTGGCTATCCACACCCAACTACACACACACACACAGACATGTATGCCGATGGCATCACACCACCCACAACCACCCCACCCAGCCACCCACGTACCACGCTATCGACGACATCTGTCCACTCACGCTTGTCCTTCTCGTGCTGCTCGAGAGCGGCCGGCTGCAGCGCATCGCACTGCAGCATCAGACACGGCGTGGGCAGCGCCAGGAACGACCCGATGGTGGGCGAGTCGGTGCTGGGCAGCTGCCCGTCGTGACGAATGGCCGACATGAGGCTCTGCAACTGCGATTGGGGTGTGGAAAGGAAAATGGGCGGGAGGGAGGGGTTTGTTGTGAGCGGCCCCGGTGCGCATGCGCGTGTTTACCTTTCGGCTATTGGATGAGAGGGAGCTCTGGCGCTGGTGCAGCTGAGGAATGGACAGATGGGTCATATGTGACCTGTGTCTGGTGTGTGTGGGAGGCGATACTCACCTTATCCTCCATCTGCATGACGCTGTGGTCCAACTTGGCCTTGTCCTGAAGTGATGGGGGAGGGGCACCACAACAGAGATTCGACGCCTTCGTGTATGTGTGTTGGGTGTCCTTACGTCTCTGTCAGCTTTGTATTTGGTCTCGTATCTGCGCTGCTCGCTCAGCAGATGCTCCACATCAGACGCACTTATCTGCACACAAAGACACACACACACACACACACGTATACACAGGGACGGACCCACACACGGCATACCCCCACCAACGCACCCACCCACACCCACCTCCTGGGCTGCCACCGTCTCCTTGAGCCTCTTCTCCTCAGCACTCTGACCACACACACGCACAAACAGCAAGAGGGCAGTGTGGTCGGGCGTGTGGATGTGTGGACACATAGGTTGTGCATCTCCCTTTCTGACTCACTCACTCACTGACCAGCTCCTGGACTATCTGCCTGACGGCCTCTACTTCACGCTGCGCACGGGCAACCTCACCCCACGGACCCTCCTGCACACCATACACACACATATATCACATGTACCCAGCCATAGGCGCCTGTGGGTGTCAAGTGTTAGTGTGCGTGCCTTCTTCTGTCGGTTTTCCTGCAGTCTACGTATCTCCCGCGAGAGTTTCTCCATGTCGGTCTGCTTGCGTGCGATGCTCGCCTTCAACGTATCTGCACCACACACGCAGCCACACCCACATGAGTGTGTGTTTGCGTGTTTGTGTCCGTCTGTCTGTGTAGGAATGCATTCATGTCGTCTGACCGTACCCTCCTTCTGCAGGTCTTCCTGGTAGCCCAGCTTCGAGGCCGCCTGCTCGGCCGAACGCTGTAAGTGACAGCCAAAGGCACACGCACCACCACATTTCATTCAACCATCCATGCGCCATCCCCGTGGGTCTGTGTGGGGTCCCGTTTGCCGGCTCACATCGCGCGCATTCTGCAGCCGTGTCTGCAACGCCGACTCCATCTGCTCATAGTGAGCCTCTGATGGATGGATGGATGGATGGACGTCAACAGCACACACCACCATGCCGTCCAACGCCGCGCACACAGGGGTGTGTCGTGTTGCGCTGTGTTCTGTTGTGTTGTGTTGTGTGCATCATCTTACTGAGTCGTCTGTCTTGCTCCGGGTAGTGGTCCTCGCCCGCCATGTAGAGGGCATAGGTCTCCTTCAGACACACCCACTGCTCGCGACGCAGAGACGACGTCAGGGAAGACGAGGGCGACAATGGCGATGCTTCGCTGCTGCCATGGGCGCCCTCCTCCTCGACGTCAGACACACCGAACGGGTCCTCACGGTCATCCAACTGACGCGCAAAGAAAGAGATGGATGGATGGATGGATGACGGGTCGGATGTATGTGTTGACCTGTTCGGCGTATTGGCAGAGCTCGATGAGCCACTGCAGGGCGGCCAGGAGGGATGGCCACGTGTTGGGCGCACCCACGTTGAGCAACGCCGTCTTGCTGATGGGGTTCGGGTACCTGACCACACCGCGCCACGCCACGCCACACCACACCATGACATCTGCCCTCCCTCCTCCCCCCCTCTCTGTGTTTGGCCCTCGTCGTCCCATGCTCACCGGACGTATCTGAAGAATGACGATATGTCGACTTCGATGGACTTGTCATAGCGATACTCGTTGTCGTAGACGCCGATGAGGAACTTGACCACGTTGAAGAAGTCGTTGCGGCTGGGCGAGTTGAGCTGCTTGGCCGTCATCGGGTACGGGTAGTCGTGCGCATTGAGGTACTGCAGCAGCTGCATCCCGCACTCCTTCTGGAAACCACGGTCATGGAAGTTGCGGGGATCTGCCCTCTTGCTCCCCTTGCCCAGCGACTGGCTCACACGCAGACCCGCTCCCGCCCTCTTGCCGCCCTTGACCAGGGCGCCCGCCTTGCCGCCCAGCGATGCCTTGCCCGTCAGGGATGGCTTGCCGACCAGAGGGCGGTAAGCAGATGACGGCACGGGCGTGCGGGAAGGGGCGCGCATGGAGGCGGCTGAGCGGCTGTTGGGAGGGATGGACAGCCCGCGGCGAGGCGTGTGGCTGTCCATCTCTATGCGATGGCTGCGGGATTGGCTAGAAAATCGGCAGATCTTTGGCCCGTTTCCGTTACCCGGCCACTTCGACCCCTTTACTTCGAAGAGGCCCAGAGGGCCACAAAGGGGCGTTGGCGTCCTCTTAGTATGTCCACTGAGGGTAAGTCATCATAGGCGATTCCTCCAATGAGTGAAAAACGAACAATTGATGCTTTTGTTTCTTCCTCTTGATGATTCAGGCAGCCAGAGGGCTGATGCGGAGCACCAGGCAGGCCCTATCCCTCAGCCCTCACCCATCATGACCACATCCGGTCCTCTCCTGAGCCCCTCTGTCGAGTTGGTGTTCGTCAATGAGTGGGAGGATGAAGGCAGCACGAATGTGGGCGCTGACCAGACGCTGCACATCAAGCGGGACCTCCTCATGACATTCGCACACTTCACACCGGTATGGCATGAGTCAGAGAGGGACCCACACAGGCAACCAACCGAGCAGCTGCCTGTGTGTCTTGTGTGCATCACCGTCCTCGTCAGATACTTCAAGAGGCGAATTTCGGCGAGTCCAAGTCGCATCGCATCGTGATTAAGGAGGTGGACCTCGTAACAGCTCGATTGGTCTTGCAGAAGGAAAGTGCTATGTTCAATGCCCTGACGAAGGAGAACTTTCTCTCCGTGCTCGAGGCCCTCGAGTACTTCCACAGCGGCGTGAGCGCCATGATGCTTCGCAAACTCGAGAGGAAGGTCATAGAGGGAGAAGGGAAGGAGAGAGATGGGACCAACGAGATGCCACGTCGTGTGTGTGGTGTCATGGACAGATGGTGCGTCGCGACTGGATAGATGATCCGCTGTTCGCAATTGAGCTCATCCGGTCCATTGGGCATACTGTGGTGGCGAAGTTCGTCGCTTCAGCGGGCGTGTGACCAGTGGCCTGCGGCTGTGTCGAGCCTTCTGCTGCAGAACCCCGACCTCATCCAGCCCTTCTGGGACGGAGACGATCCTATCGCAATGAGAGCAGGTACACATACCTACTTAAGAAGTGCGCGACAGACAGGTCAGGTCGTTCATCGCTGCTGCGTGTGTGCTGCAGTGATGGTGCTGGTCAGCTACCTCTGCCGACATCTCGCCTGCGGCCATATGCAGGCCTCGGCAGAGCAGTTGGCGAACTTCCTCATCGTATCGACCAACACACAAGAGCTTCCTGACGCCATCGGTCGGTGCGGGAAAGAAGCAAGCACGACACTCAGACAGGCTGTCTGCTCATTGTTTTGTGTTGCCTGCAGGTGTCATTTTCGACCGCAAGGATCTGGCATGCTATTCGAAGCAGCAGGTGGCCTACCCCTTCGCCACTTCACCTGCTATCCCCGTCGTACCCACCTGCGAGTGCACGGACACTCTCTGCACATGCAGCCGGAGCATCCTGCCCGGGATGTCCGTCAGTGCTACCGTCTGCCTCTCACCCCCTGCAGACCCCAACCACCCCAATCAACCTCCCTTCGTGGCCGAGCGGCTGCTGCACGAGGCGACCAGGTTCCAGCTCTGCCTATCGGCGACCGCTACAGAGGCCTCTCTGCCATCCGCGTGTGCCTGCTTTAATGCTTGGGTGAAAATTGGGGTGGACAAGGAGGGAGACCAGCAAGGACAGGGACGGCAAGAGGTGGCGGTGCTGTCAAAGCCGACGGGGTGGCTTCGTGGCCCAGCGGCTCACGGGGGCCACGAATATGGAGTTACCTTCCTGGGCAGTAACCTGCCGCTCCACATGTGTGGCAACACGCTGTCGATCGAGCAGCTTGCAGAGGCGGGAGTTGGGGAGGTGCCGCTTAAGGAGGTCAAGGTCAATGTTTTCTTCTGCTCATACCCCTTCCGCACAATGGCTTGTCGTTACCTGCGCCAGTGCATCATGGAGACCAAGTGGGAGGAGATTACGCAATTCGCAAAGTAAGTCGCCGAGGGGAGAGAATCAAAGACCGAAAGGGCCCTCCTCGGATCTCCCTGACACTGTGTGTGAAAGCGCCGTCGATGTCTTCGTTCAGGTCAGTTACGGACTATGATCGTAGGCTGCTGGTCGGCATCCTCGCCGGCACCCCATTCAGGCCATTTGCAAGTAATGGCACTATGTCATCTCTCTCTCTGCACTCATATGCGTGTGTCCGCCTGTGAAAGCTTTGGCGGCATTTTGCAAGGCGGGCATTGAGCTGGACGAGTACTGCTCGCAGCACATCGCTACGTCGATGTCGGCAATGCTCGAGCGGCCCAGGCGGCTGTTTACCCAAACGGGTGTCTGCACCGACGACGATGTGGGTGCCTTCATCAACACGGTGGTGCCGCTGCTGTCCCCCCACGCACGGCAGACGCTCGCCAACCTGTTGGCCCAGCAGATAGATCCCTCTATGATCCAGCACACCATCACGCTCTCGTCACAAATGGCTTTTCTCGAGGTGGGTGTGTCAAGCCAGACGAAGAGGGAGGTGCATCCATCGATCTGTCTGTCTTGGTCCATTCATTCAGTGTGGTGTAACTCTCGCCGAGGCCTTACCGCCCCCAGTGGTCTACGAAGTGCCGCAGCGTTTTGTCGGCGGGAGTGTGAGCGTGGGTCGGCCGCGATGGGCGGCAACATCCCACCGCAGCCCCGGCCAGCAGCCTGCCGTCCTCGCCCAACCCGTCACAACACGACCGGTACCCTTCAGTGCGAACCAAACACTTGACACGTACGCTAACAGAGAGACAGAAAGGGGCACGCTCATCTGTACTCGCTGGATGGATGGATGGGCTCTTTGCGCCTTCCTTTCCTCCCACAGCCCGGCGGCCCTCCAGGGGCTGCCGCTGAGTCCGAGTCAGCCCGAAGACGACGGCGGTTTCCCGCCGTGGGATGACAACAAAGACCCCTACTGGTGATCTGACCCATCTCGACACACACACGGGCCGGCTGTGGTGTGTGCATTCTCGTGGTGCGAGGAGGGTGTGATGTGGGTGGTAGCGTGAGGGTGTGGTGTTTTGTTTAAGAAGTGGCTGGCAGGGCAGGCGTGGCAGCTGAGATGGCTCACTCGGGTGAGGCAGGCAGACACGTGAGGTGGGCCCGGTTTTTCTTTTCTTTTCTTTTCAAACAGACAGCAGTGCTGCTCTTTGTCCCATGTGTCGATACTCTGGGGCTGGCTTGGCTTGGCTGTGCAAAGACTGAGACGCGACAGGGTGAAGAATGAAATTGATTGAAGTCAGCACAAGTGGTCTCAGACATGCAGATGTGCCTTCTTCACTCACATGACGCCACGTCACGGCACACACAGAGTGCTGGCACTGACACTGCTCTGCTCGTATATGAGTCTGAGATACATGACTTACATAAGCTGATGGATGCAGCCAGCACTCACTCGACGCACACGACGCACACACAAAACCTTCACTCACAGTCTGAAGTAACCGTGCAAACCGCACACACGCCACAACCTCGCTCACACCTATTCACACCCACACAGGGCTGGCCAGCGGCCGACTCAGTCGTCATCGTCCTCGTCGTCATCGTCTCCCTCCTCAGGTGGGTAGAGGCGCTTGGCCTTCTTGTCGTAAAACACCAAACCGTCCGGCTGGCTGTCGACGAACTCCTCCACTGTCGTGTAGCCCAGCAGCTCGGGTCGGAAGTTGCGGACCTTGATGGCCGCGAACCGCTCGCAGAGCTCGTCGATGGGGATGCCGGGGTCCTCGGTGACGCCATCGGCCGCCAGCTTCTGCGCATGCTTGTTGAGCACCGCACGAAGCGCCTTGCGCATCACCTGCACACACACACACACACACAAACACAGCAGACAGGTATGTTGATGGGTGTGTGATGGATGCAGGTGTTCTCTCTTCCCCCTCCCTCCCTCCCTCTCTGCCTGACCAGCTCTCTCTTGTACTGCCGTTCGCTCTCCTCGATCTCAGCCTGGCTCTTGGGGTCGTCGTCGTCGTCATCCTTGTCCATCCCGCCATTCTCGTCACCCCCTGCCGCCCTGCTGGCCTGCTGCTGCTGCTGCTGCCCCTGGCCGCCGCCCTCCTGTTCCCTGAGCCGTGCGGCCTGGCTCTGGTGGAATTGCATGAGTCGGCTGATGAGGTCCTCCTTCTTGCCCTTCTTGCTGATGCCCCGCTCCTCACACGCCGCCTGCAGCTCGCTGTTCGACAGCCCCGACCAGTTGGCGTCGGGGAACACCTTCATGGCCAGGGCGGCCGAAGACGAGCTGCTGGAGGCCGTGCCGTTCTTGGGTTGGTCCTTCGATGATGATGATGATGATGCTGATGCTGATGCTGCGGATGGTTTGCCGCCGCCACCGCCTCTCTGTTTGTCGAACTCGGCGAGCTCCTTTGCGTGACGCTCCTCGGCATCCTCGAGCTTCTTCTGAGCCGCCTCCTTCATCGCACCCTGCACGATGACACACAATACACCGGCGCAGTCAGTCAATCAAATGTAAGCTGGAGATCTCGTCAATTCGTCTCATCCTTGTGATGTGCCCTGCCTTTTTCTTCTTGACGTCCTTCTCGAGCTCCTTGAGCTCATTGGCGTGTTTGGTCCGCAGCAGGGACCGCTCCTTGTTGAAGGCCGCCTCATCCATGACGCCAGGCGATGAAAGGGAAAAGATCTGCAAGCTCAGCAGCGATTCTGCTGCGCGCTTGCTGTATCCGAAGGCAGAGGAGCACCCAAATGGGAGTGAAAGCGCTTCTCTGTGTCGAGCGCCTCAGATGAGCCACGAAAAGGTGGTGGAACTGAGGTTTTTGTGACATCGGCGTCTGGTCAGCTCCCGCGGCGTCCAGGCGAAGGGATCTGGAGGAGATGACGCTGTCGGTGGAAGCGCAGGTGTTGCTGGGATACACCAGCTGCACCATGGCGGCGGCCTTGCAGGTACGTGTGTGTGTAGATAGATACACCAGCTGCAGGCAGGGCCGATGGACTTTGCAGATCTGTTGTGTGTCGTCTGTGTGTATGTGTCAGGCGGTGCGGTTTGTGCGCGTGCCTCTGTTGAACCCACACATCCTCGTCACGCCACTCAATCTGGCCGCAAAGTACGCACGCAGATAGATAACTCATTGCACAAGAGGAGTCATGGTTCACATCTCATCTGCTCGCGTGTGCGTGTGTGTGTCTGTGTGTGTGCACAGGTTGTCAGATCTGTCGCCGGTGCTGTATGGGATCCTGCCGTGGGTCGGCTTCGCCCTCGAGTGCGCCACCTACGCCCTCCTGCCCGTCACGGCAGCCGTGCCAATGCAGGCAGGCATGCACGTGACACTCACTGAATCATGTAGAGGAATTGGCGAGTGCAGTGCACCACACAGCTGTGCTGTGTGTCTGTTGTGTGTGCAGACGACCGCGTTGACCTCATTGGTGCTGTCGCAGGTGCACAGGGGTCGGTTTAGCCTAAAGCACCTCGTGGGCTTCGTAGCTGCCGCAATGGCGTGGTACGATACGCAGAACCAAGACAGGAGCCGAGCCGACGTGGCTGATGGATGCTGTCTGTTGTGTCTCTGTGTCTGTCGGGTTTGTGATGGATGGACCGATCAGGCTGTTGCCGCTGTTCCTGCCGTTGCCGCACACGGACTTTAGGATGCAGCCGTTTTTCGGTAATTCAGCGGCGCAGCCAACGGTTGCAACAGACAGACAGATGTACTCACTCGAGGTGTTGGTTCGTTCGTGTGTTGTGTGTGTGTTGTGTGTTGTGTGTGGATATATATAATCAGACCACCTGTTGTCGGTGTGGACGGTGCTGTATGTGCTGTCACTGCTGGCCCTCGCCACACTCATCCACAGGCGTACGTATGTCGGTCGATGGGACACACACGATGACATGACACGATGTGCACTGCACTCACTTTGTTGACGTGATGTCATGGTGCAGGCCATCTCGTGTCGTCGGCCTCGCTGCCCCTCCCAATGCCGTCGCCCAGCGGATCGCCAAAGGACAGAAACAAAAGACACTTAGCTGACGCAAACAGGTCGGTTGGGTGAGCGCGTGTGTGTGCTTCTGGACAGACACCTACCTGACCTGCAGCACAGCACACACATGGATGTGTGTGTGCGTGTGTCAGCATGGATGCGGGAAGTCTGTTCATGGCGACATTGCCGGCGGCGATGAACTTCGGTGTGGCCGTGATAGCCCTCACGGCCGTCGCGCACTCGGTGGGCAGCCTCCTGGTCTCGGGAGTGGCGCCCTATCCGCTGCTGGTGGCGGCGCTGGTGGTCTTCTTCCTCACTCGAGAGGCGCAGATGAACTCACTCGAACGGCAAATCGACGCAATCGCGCCAGGTGGCTGTGAGGAGAGGGAGGGAGGGGGTAGGAGAGATCTAGAAACACTCGTCTCGTGTGTGGACGTTTGTTTGTCTGTCTGTGTGTGACAGGTCACGCCAGGTCGTTGTGCGGTTCGCCTGTGCCCCAGTCGCTCAAGTCGTCGGTGCACCAGAGCTATGCCTACCAGCGGCCGATGCACCAGCCGCCCCAGGACGAAGATCTCATGACCACAGGGCTGGACGGTTGTAGGGCTGGCTTCGCTGGGGGAACCAAGTGAGCCAGCCGCGGCATTTTGGTTGACAGGCAGAGAGGGAAGCGGTGTGTGTGTGTGTTTGGTCTGTCAGCCCTGAGAGTTTGTTCTCGATATGGCGGACCCATTCGACAGTGCCGCAGCATGGACAGGCGCTGCTGGGTGTGTTCTTTGCTTATGGGATGGAGTGCTGCCTCACGGGATGCACCACAGGTGTGTGTGTGTGGGGGGGGGGG